GATGCGGCTGCTTCCAGTGGCTTGAGCTCTGCACCAGCGTCTCCACCTCATCACCGGCAGCAGCAGCGTCGCCGATTTGCAGATGACACGCATTCATCTTCCGACTCTGAACATTCTCATCCCCGACCTGCCAAGTCCATTCGCGAGAAATTGAAATCGGGTGAAAACACAGCATCACATAAGCGCAAGAGTCTCAAAGTCGAGTCCGACGACGAAGGCGAGAGCCGCAAGGTTAGGCGGCAACGAACAACCAGCGCCAGCATCGATTCAGGTCGCCCGCAGAAGGAGCACAAGCCTCTCTCAGCAAAGTCACACCATGATTCACAGAACCGTTCCATTTCACCACAGGCTCGATCTCACCGAAGGAGTGCATCCTCCCAGTTACCTGCCTACTCCTCCAACGGCCTCGGCCACAAGAAGAGGCGACTGCCTCCTCCGTTGCACGCCACTGACTATCACTCTGACGACTCATCAGCAAGTGGCAGTCCTCATCCTCGCAGTTCTAAACTACGTAACCTGGCAACGCCTGCCGCCGACACAAATGCCTCCCCTGCAAGGATGGCTCCTCATAAGAAGCATCTCGATGCCCACGGTCAGACATTACTCGCTCGCGCCTGCGCTCGAGGAGAGTACGAGGGGGCCAAGACACGCCTTACCGAGAGGCCTGAGGATCTGAACGTAGCCGACTACGCGGGAAACACACCTCTTCAGATTGCAGCAATTAATGGATGCGAAGACATCGTCAAACTTCTGATCGACGCTGGATGCAATTTGGATTGTGTCAACTACGACAAGGACACACCACTTCTCGATGCGGTCGACAACGGCCATCTGGGCGTTGTCAAGTTATTACTAGACGCAGGCGTTAATCCTAGAAAGGCCAATGTGAACGGGGAAGAGCCAATCGACCGGGTGAGCGACGAAACAGACAACGCCGAGGAGATTCGAGCCGCACTCATGGCTGCAAGGAAGCGAGCAGGAGATCGGAGGCGCACCTCAGAAGAACATCACTCCCACCAAGATCAAGATACGAGGGACTCGCATGCGCCAGATAGCCCACGCCATTCGCCCGTTACAAATTCCGGAACAAGTCGAAGAACAGGAACTGTACGCGCAACAAAGACGAGAAACGATCTACTGTATATGCCCCTCGACGACAAGACACTTCGACAGGCTGCGGGGCGAGGTGATGAGGAAACTGTCGCACGCATCTTGCAGGTAAAGGAAGGATATAATGACCCAGCTGCTATGGTTGCCGCGGCTCGAGGTGGCCATGACTTGGTAATTCAGCTGCTCCTAGGCCTTGGAGGTGCTAATCCTGATCCCCGGCCTATTTTCAACGCCCAGCCTGAATTCGCGACGCCAATACTAGCAGCAATCGGGCAAGAGAACATCAAAGTCATTGAGTTACTTTTGGAACAGGCTGGATTCGATCCCACACGAAGGTACAGAGGAGAAACATATTACGAGATTGCCCGACACCGGGCAGGTCCAAACTGGAAGGACGAAGAGCATATGCTGAAAAACGCCTACGACGAGTTTAAGAGGAGCGGAAAGAAGACAAACTCTCGCCAGGAACAACAAGATGAAGCTTTGCGTGCCCGACGAGCAAAGGAGGAGGCCCGACAGCATAAAAGGAGCCTCTCTAGTCCCGAACCGAAGAAGAAGTCAACCACCTCTAAGCTTACGAGCCCTAAAGAGAAACGGAGATCCAACTCAATCACGAACCAGGGAGATGAGGGTTCAAAGCGTGGCCCAGGACGACCCAGGAAAGACGATCCCGTCCCGTCTATTAATATCTCAGACCGCGAACAATCCCCAACTATCTCTCAGAAACAGCTCAAAGCCAAACATGCCGATTCAGACGCTGCCGGCGTATCGTCGGAGGGGGAAACACATAAACCGAGGAGGAAGCTTGTGTCTAAGGGGGAGCTTCGAGGGGAACGAGAGCGGCAACGACGCGCTAGTATGGCTTCGAACGCTTCATCTTTCAAAGATCACCCAAGTAGCCCCCATGAGCCAAGGCATGAGGAGTCAGGTGACAAACACGATAAACACGAAAAGAACAGAGTCGAGAAACTATCCGAAAAGTACCATGATCGCACCAAGGCTCTCAAAAGGGACGAATCCCGGGATCGCTTGTCTGTGTCGGGCGACGGGTCGACTAAGAGGCATCGTGCCAGCATCACACCTGACCGACCCAGTAATGGCGACAAGGATGATAGCGAGGTCCCACCCAAGCGACGACGACTTGATAGCGAGACAAAGGAGAAACGACCTAAACAAGTTTTATCATCTGACGAGAGACCTCGAAAATCCAGCAATCTTCAAGACTCTTCCAAATCGTCCTCAAAACCCAGTCATAAAAAGCACGACGAGGAGAAACGCGATAGGCGTGCCGACTCTCACCGTGCAGACACCGACCGAGCCAGTAGTGTTGAAAAACAGATTCATGTCAAGTCAGAGGAGACTGACGTGGAGATGAAAGACGCCGATTCTATTAAGGCTGTGTCAGAGTCGGAACTGCAAGCGGCTCGAGCTAAGGAAGCCGAACAAGAGAAGCAAAAGCAAACCGATGAGGAGGCCAAGAAGAAGGACGAACTTCGGAAGAAGCATGAAGCACGCAAGAAAGAAGAAGAACGTAAGCGAGCTGAGGCTGAAGCCGCGAGGAAGCATGAAGAGGAAGAGGAAAAGAAGCGAAAGGAGGAGGCTGCCGAAAAGGAGAGACTGCAAAAGGAACTAGAGGAGCGTGAAGCTGAGCGCAAACGCAAGGAAGAAGAAGAACGCCAGCGACGAGAGGAGGAGGAGAAGAAGCAACGGCGCGAAGCCGAGGAGAAGGCGCGTCGAGAAGAGGCAGAAAAGCAACGTATCGAAGAAGAGCGAAAGAAGAAAGAGGAGGAGGAACAGAAACAGCGAGAGGAAGAGGAGAGGCTGCACCGTGAGCAACTCGAGCGAGAAGCGGCCGAAGAAGCTCGCCGTCAACACGAGGAAGAAGAGCGCAAAGAACGTGAGCGACGAGAACGTGCGCATCGTGAGGATATGGAACGCAAACGAGCGGCACGCGAAGCTGAACAGCGACGATTCCGTGAGGAGCAAGAACGCATCCGCCTCGATAAACTGCCTCCCCTCCTACGATGGCTCGATAAATGTCCAAACCCCAAGCTTCCGGTCCTTGCCGAGAAATTCAAGCGGATTCAAGGCTGCCGATACGATACAATTCGACGCGAAGCCAACGGCACAGCCGAGGGTCGTGAGCAGTGGGTGCTTAACACACATGCAGCTCTCCTTCTTGGCGAGAAGGACCTTGACCTCTCTCGGTGTAAGTTCATTAATCAAATTTGTTGAGTTAGCCACTGATTGTTTCTATAGATACTGCATGGGAACGCGCTCCCGTAACTGAACTAGCAAAGTTGTCTTTATGGCGCGTTGAATGGCGTCTTTACTCTCTTCTCGATGACAAGCTGTGGGATCTCGGTCGACAACTCCCCGAATATTACGGTGACGAGGATCCCTCCGAATTAGGTTTTGAGACAAAGCAACGACTAAAAGCAGAGGCTTGGGAGAAATTCTTCAATATGGACATGTTCTTTGTTAAGGTGAATATCAGCCACTCAAATATGCGAAAATGCGAAAAGCTAACATGATAACAGGTGTCGGATCTTATGTATACTGTCCCCAACATACCACATCTTCGTCATATTCGTCTCGAAGTTGAATATAGGGAACTTCTGGAGACAGAAGCACAAAGCAGGGGATGGGGAACATGTCAGAAGTGGAAGCAGGATCCGGATTCTGCTCGGTACAACAGACTTGCTCCACGATGCAAGTACTATCACAATGGCGCGTTCGTTGGCGAGGATAAACCCCAACTCGCACAAACAAGCAGTACACCTTTCCTCGACAAGAAGGTTCCTCGACGCGGACTGGTGCAAGTGTTCCCAGACGACCCAGATTATACTAGAATATGCCTAGAACAAGGTCTAGAGCATCTCATCAACGGCCACCTTAGCCCGCCTCTTGTCAATGGCATTCATTCATCGCCAATGAGCCAGAAATCAATGGCATCGGGAGGACCCCCTATAAATGGGATGGTCAAAGCTTTGACGCCTGGTTCGACTTCAGAAAGCTTGACGATATCAAATGCTGGGCACGAGACTCTTGTAAACGGCATCAACGGAAACACGAACGGAAACCCAGCCCACTGACAGTTAGTGTCTCCAACAAGCAGCTGAACATACTTTGTTACATTATTGCGCCGAGTTTTCTTTGTTAGCATAATGATCATGGGTGGCGCAGATACAGTATAGGGCTATGGCATGGATTGTCACTTTTCTCGACAACTGGGGATGGTGGTTGCTAGATGGTAAAGTTTTCCTCATGAGCATTGGATCGGAATACTATACAGGCCTGTTGTACGAAGAGTTGGCCAGCGGTTGGTTGGATGATTGTCTTTGAAAGATTAGCAAATGACGGGGGTTGTGCAAGGTGTATTGCGTTGTTGCTGTTATGAATGAAGCATGACTGATATCTTTATAGAGAAGCAAGGGGAGGGATACTCGGGGTAAAGTCTTGTCTTGTCCTGTTGGTAGACAGACTCTGGTCACTGCATCTGACAGGCTGTATGCAACAATTAACGAAACTTTTTAAAAACACCAAAAACCATCACTTTATGAGAACAATACCGACTGACTGATTAATTAATTCCATTCCCTCAAAACCTAGGTCGTTTATGCGGTACTGAGCGTTCAACGTAAATGGTTTAGCATGTCCACCTGGAGGCAAACTACTAAATCAAATATCTGATTGGCTGCAAGAAAGCCAAACTGGCTGACGTAGGTGTGGAGCAGGTTTTTCTGTCGTGCCCCGCCATTTTCAACTTTCTTTGCAATTTATCACCAAAAGTGCTTTTACACCACGAATTGGGCCACGAACGCGAGATCTGAGGCCAGACAACAACCGAATATCGACTCGAGACAGCTTCTGCAACCGCAACCGCAATCATGGCGACTACAGTGGACAAGGTATGTAGCTTTCCCACAAAAAAGATGTTGTGTGTCACGATTTGGCTAACCCCGGTTCCCCTACCAGATCAAAGATATTGAGGCCGAAGTACGTGATATTCTAATCGAACCCTCCCCTAAACGACGCTATCGGAGAAGACGATGGTCATAAACCCACGATGGGGGACTCTTTATCGTATGGATAACCGGGAACAGCTCTAACCTTTGTGACCAGATGGCCAAAACCCAGAAGAACAAGGCGACTTCGTACCATTTGGGTCAGCTTAAGGCCAAGTTGGCTAAGCTCAAGCGCGAGCTGTTGACTCCCAGCGGCGGAGGAGGTGGCGGAGGTGCTGGTTTCGATGTGGCCAGAACAGGCGTAGCCAGTATTGGCTTCATCGGCTTCCCTTCGGTGGGCAAGAGTACGCTCATGAGCAGACTGACAGGCCAACACTCGGAGGCTGCCGCCTACGAATTCACCACCTTGACCTCTGTGCCTGGTCAAGTTGTCTATAACGGTTAGTCGTCTGTGATATCCCTCCCCCCTCGCCTTCTCCATCCCCACCTCCACTTCGATCAACGGATGCGGTGCGGCGCGGCTATTTTCTTGTTCTCGGCTTGATGCCCAATCTCCAATTCCACCACCACCACCACCACCTCCTCCATCATCATCAGAGGCGGCTCCTTTGTGCGTCAAACATTGTGGCTGACATGAATTTCTCCAGGTGCCCCCTTGCAGATTATTGACCTTCCTGGTATCATTGAGGGTGCCAAGGATGGCCGAGGTCGAGGTCGACAAGTCATCGCCGTCGCTAAGACATGCCATCTGATCTTCATTGTGCTGGATGTCAATAAGCCTCTGACGGATAAGCGGGTGATTGAGGCGGAACTCGAGGGTTTCGGAATCCGTATCAATAAGGAACCCCCCAACATCACCTTCAGGAAGAAGGACAAGGGTGGCCTCAATATCACCAGCACTGTACCCCTGACACATATCGACCACGGCGAGATTAAGGCTGTCATGAGCGAATATCGCATCAATTCTGCGGACATTACAATCCGGTGTGACGCTACCGTTGATGACCTGATCGACGTTCTCGAGGCAAAGAGCAGAAGGTAAGGCTGAAGTGAAGAAGTGTGGCAAACACAGCTGCTTTCAAAGTCGAGATAAGTTTAGTTTGCTAACGATCCAACTCGTCAGTTATATTCCCGTTGTCTACTGTCTGAACAAGATTGATTCCATTAGCATTGAGGAGCTTGACCTTCTCTATCGAATTCCCAATGCTGTCCCCATCAGTTCCGAGCACGGATGGAACATTGATGAGCTGATGGAGGCCATGTGGGACAAGCTAAACCTTGTCCGCGTGTACACAAAGCCCAAGGGCAAGCAGCCTGATTACTCTCAGCCTGTCGTGCTCCGATCTACGCGCTGCACTGTTGAAGATTTTGTAAGTCAGATCAGTTTCATGTGGCGGGCGCCCTTTTGGCCGTCCCCTGCGGAGCCTCATGTCCAAAATCCAAATTAGGAATCGTGGATTGCTAATCGAGCTGGCAAATAGTGTAACGCCATTCACCGAAGCATTACTGAAGTGTTCAAGACGGCCATCGTTTATGGCAAGTCAGTCAAGCATCAGCCTCAACGCGTTGGCCTGGCTCACGAACTGTGTGATGAGGATGTTGGTAGGTTACCCCCGGAGTCTCCGACAACGACCCTCGACCCCAGCAGCAGCCTAAAGACAGATTGAGGATGGGAGGGACAAGTAGTTAGGCCGCAGTGAGCTTGATCTACCCGATGCAGTCGGGATCTTGCTTCGTTAATGAGCCAGGGCGCCCATGATCCCAGTCTCAGTCTGATCCGTTGCACCAAGGCGGCTAGGGTTGCATTGTACCAAGCTCGTAGCAACGCTAACTATTGTAACAGTAACCATTGTCAAGCGATGAAGAAAAACCTTGGAGAGATTGAAGGGGATGATCCCGCGGCAACGCCAGAGGCTTGGTGAGCTAGAGAGACATTGCCAGATAGCTTGGACCGCCGCTTCGCATCAGATTGTTACTGCAGCCATGCCACCCACCACCAGTTTGCGACTCTGGTTTAGCTCCGAGTGGCTGAAGGAGAGAGAGGAGGAAACTTCACAGACCAGGGGAGCCCTGAGTGGGATGGATGGGATGCTGATTACTACTACGACAACAATAACAGCAGCAGCAGAAATGTTCAATATGAACAGGGCTGACAATGGATGCACGGCTACGAGCACGTCTGGTTGACAAGAAGTATCGACTTGGCTCGACCAGGCACGATAATGATCGGCACAATAGTTTCCGGGGGAAGTCAGAAGTGGCGTGCACACTCACAGGGCAGGCTGATGGGTCTAGAGCAGGGGAGAGAAAATTTTGGGTCAACGGCAGACGACGATGAACAAGGAAGGGCGAGATTTAAGATGAAGATGGCGAGCAAGACGGAACGGAGTAACTGCGGACGTGGATTTTATACGAAAGCCTATGCCCGGGTTAGTTTTCCGGGATGAAAGAAAAAGCAATGGTGGGTATTGCGCAAGCAGAAGTAAGCCCGGCAGTTACTATTGTTGGTTGTTCAGCAAGGAGTTACAATCAATTTGCTCGAAAAATGAAACAAAATGAATGATTCTCGATGATAAAAGTGCAGTCAGTCATCAATTGATGGATGGCTACAACATCTTGGCGCGTTGTCATTCATCCAGGCGGCTGAAATGCATAAAGGCTTGACCGAGCGGAGATATTTCCAAGAACAAACCCGAGCAAGGTTTATGATACCGATTCTCGTAACATGAGAGAGCTGACAGATAATAAGTCACCGTCACCATTGCTCCTGGGGGCGGCCTGTTTGCGGATTGAAAGATTGAGACTCAGCCGAATTGAAAGCTATAGTTACAGCAGCAACAGGTCAATTGACGGGTATAAATGCGGTAACGGTGACATTCAAATGGACAAAACGCCACCATCCGATGTCAACGAGCAGAAGCAGAGCGGGAATGGGATGCAGTTGGGAGTGGTTCGACCTGCATAACCGAGGGCCTCTTGATCTGCGGCCGGATTGCCCAGCAGAAGCGTGGGATATGCAGCTGCAGCTGCAGCTACAGATGCAGACGCAGACGCAGGGGTTTGAGGCCTACGAATCAGGTTATGCGTAGATTCTTTCACGGCGCTTATAGTCGAGACGGGAGAATGAGAGAAAAACAGTAAAAGGGTTTGACTTTTAGGGCATTTCCTGTTGTGATCCCCTGGTACGAAATTGGCCGTCTTCATTGAGACAAGTGAAACAGACCATCAGTTGCCAAGGCGATTAGCTGTACCCGAACCAGCCAAGGTACCTACTAAAGGTGCTTACAGGATGATGTTGACAGGAGAGAGAGGTACGGAGTAGCATCAGAGGGATCTCATAGGCACCAAGGTAATTAATGTACACCTACAGTAGAGCATCAAACATGCGCTCCGTTCCGTCCACACCCCAGCTAGCTTACTTTTTACTGATTAAGGGAACTTAGTACTGCACCCGACCCTTAGCCTTTCTTGATGGCGGCGGTAAGAGACGATTCGTGAAAGGCGGAGAGCTCGAGCCTCTTTGGCGAGAAAAACGTCCCGAAGCCCGCACCAGGCTTAAACAAGGTTAGCGGGAAGCAAAGGGCCAGGGGGGTGTTGAGCAGTAAACCAACAGTCTCTCTTGCCTTGCTAGGTCATCTCCACAATAAAGTAGGTTCTTAAGTTACCGCGCACACAAGGTGGTGAGGTAGTGAAAAAGTCACATAACAACATTAGCAGCAGGTAGAGTGGCTGCAGAACAGGGAAGTCATCTTTTAACTTTTTCTCTTTTTTTTAAAAGATGATGAGATTCAAGGATTATGGGCCATAGTTACCCCATAAGTGTCTGTGTCGTACAATTTTCATTAAACAAAATAGTCTGGTCTGCCTATGCTGAATGCAGCCTACTGCGGATATATAACAGGTATCTTACTACGTATTAGTTGTTTGGGTAATTGCGGCAGCACGGCGCTACGGAAGGCTCAACAAATGCCAGATAAGGTTGAACCCGCTATAAAAGCACAACATTAAGTCTAATAGTTACCTGCGGCCTCACTATAGGTGAAAAGATTATGAGCATCATCAGGTGCAGAACATCTGCAGTGTTGATGAGATCTCAATCGAAGCACAAGGGGTAGATGGCGCCTAAGAGAGTCCATCCATCCTCAACCTACAACATCAACAAGGAACGCCCCTGAGAGAGCATCAATTGATTGACTGGCTGACTGAACGACCCCTGCCAGCGCCTGACTAGCAACCTTTGACCAAACACTCTGCGAGGCACACGATTAATATCGATATCAAAGCAGAGAATTGCAGAGCGATTGGTTGGTTTCGGCCACTTATACGCGAGTTTTTACACCGGGCGTTTAGTGCATGGCAATGGATGACATGCTAAGTTAGCGCACCGGCATGATGCTTCTGTCATGAGATGAGATGAGATGAGATGACACTGAGTGAGTATACATCGTACCTAACCTAGTAGATCTCTCCCGAGCGGCCGCGATCCTTTCTCGTCATCATTTTCCCACTTGGAAGGCCTCGTTTTTTCTCTCTTTGTGTTTTGTCTGCTTATGGTCAAGCTTGGCTGCTTCATACAGGGGCACCCGGAGCTCAGAATTCCCTGGCGAGTCCAGATCGATGTGGGCATATGAGGTAGGTAGGTCGTACCTGCCTTGATTATTGGTTCAGGTACCTTTGCAAGTGCCGTCGTTGTGAACTACCTTACTTCAATTCCTCATCAGACCTCAAGCTCGATATCTCAAGGTAAGATACGTTAGTTACATATTGACATATACATCAATCCGTTTGGAGCCTCAGGAGTTCCATCCTCCTTTCTGTCTAGCTGCATCATCTACTCACTGCTGTCTTCCATCACTCTGTCAAAGTCAACCTCAAAGCAAACATATGCTAGACACCATCAGATTACATTCGACCTATGTACTAGAGCCCGGGGCCAGGGATCTTGACCAAACTGGCCAACTGGAACAACACCCGGCAGACGGATTGGACCGTCTATGGCGCGCCACAGCTTTTCTCCCCCCTCCTTCACTACCTCTGTATCTTCCTCTGCCCGCCCGCTCATCATCCATGCATTCATCTGTCGCATCGTGTCGCAGCTTTGATCAGGATTAATAGGGACAAGCAAACAATGATACAGTAGAACAGGTATGCACACTTTGCTGCCCAATGACAAAATATCTGGGGCAAGCTCATGATGGTGGCCGCATCTGCATGTCCATTGATTGAACCCTCCGGAGATTGCGCTAGCCACCCCCATCAGGATCCAGCCAAGATGTTGATCCCTCATCCCGACTCTGTTGCTTGGATACGAAAGTTGAAGAAATGAGAATGCTACTCGAGCAATCACCATCCCTCTCACAACTTACCATCAGTCGCTCAGAAAAACAGGACCACGACAAAAGACCGCGACATGGACAAGGGAATGTACTCCAGTGCCATGGATGCCAGACATGGATGCTGATGGGATGGACTAGGGGCGGAATGGTAACTGGCCATGCTATGGCGGCAGGCGGCGGCTGTCAAACTGGCTCCAGAAAGGGCCGTCCCACTAGCCTGCCTCTGTCCTTGACCTGACCTGTCCATGCCTAGGGCCTGGCAAGCCCCAGTTCGACCTTGCTCAGAGTAGCGGTCGATCTTCGTCTTCCATCCACAGTGAAGCCATGGCAAAGCAACGTAAGGTATCAAAATGCTACTGGGCACCGTACCATGGCACCTTCAGTCCATCGATGTCCTTCAAGATACAGGATAGGATGACATGGCTGGAAATTTTTGACCCACCGACATTCCAGTTGCGGCATCCCGAGCACGATGTCATCATGGTGCCGACTAAGGTGGAAGGGGTTTTGATATTGGTGGCAGAGGTACGGAGTAGTCTTCGCTCGACATGGTTGCTCGTCCGCATAAAGCGAACAAGACACACGAAACTATCAGCGATATGAACTAAACTACAATCGATAAGATCAAACAGAAAGGATCATCATGAACGGGATTCACAATTAACATTGCAACTGGTAAGGATGAAATCAGCATGCATCTGACATCTTTTTGTCGGCTCCATCACACACCTAATAACTCAAGACGGGAAGGAAAGAAAAAAAAATCAAACGTCACAACGTCACAACGTCAGGTGGACCACGTGCGCCAGTTTGTTACAGTGAGATAGCCAACACGAATTCTCGCTTCTTCCTCCTGGTTTGGACTGGGCTTGCAAGTTTACATTGTGCCGTATCTCCACGGCCACGATATTTGACTGCACTAGACCTTGACCCGTAAGCCATGCCGCCCAATGGCTTCGGCCTAAGGGCTTGGAGGAGCAAACAGATGCAAAAGACAAGGGTGCTTGAATGAAGCTTCGGGGCCCATGTCTCTCTTCGTTAGCGATGAGGACCCTTAACATCCTGAGGCACTTGCTTTATTACACAAGTTATGGCTGTGCCATCCTGGGACCACGAGGCAAGCAAGCAAGGCGAGGCGAGGAGACGCGAGAGGCAAGGGAGAAAGCCATGGCTAGGGCAGAAGATGAGGAACAAGGCTGAGCGAATCAAACAACCAAAGCCTTGTTCATCAGTCCCCTCCCTTCTCACTCACCCCATCTCCGCCCCGTCCTCCCTTTGAGACAGTCTGAGCTCCCGGATCTCGCCTTCCGGTCGGGCTTTGACCTTGAAGTGCTCCGTGTATCAGACTTACATGCTCGGGAAGGAAAGAAGAGTGTGCATCAGTCTATCAGAGAGAAAGAGATGAGGCCGCGGGCTGATCCGCCCGAGGCTGAAGCTGAACGATTGTTGTGTTTCGGGCTAATAAGCTGAATTGGTATCCTCGCTGCCACCCATGCCTCGGTGTCATTTTCACTTTCCATGGATGGAGCAGACCCCAAAGTTAATGTCAACTTGCTCATGGTCGGCGATAATCATCCTTGGTCATTGGAATTTCCTTTACATCAAGCACAAGGGTTTTCATAGACCCCTGCTCTCGAGAGTGGCCGGGCATGCCGCTGCAACTGCATTTTTCTGCATGCTCTGTATCTAATCCGTGTCCCGTCAGTCGATCTTACTTTGTGCCATTTCGATTCCTTGCTACCACTGTCCCGTCCCGGACTGAGCATTATACTAGAACCAGCATGTTAATATTACGATTCAGAGCTTGGGCTCCCAAGCCTGGCCTGACCAGGTTTCGTCTGGGGAGGATCTGTTCTAACAGGTGACCAACCATCGAAGTGGACTCCTTTCGGGAGAAACGTCTGACCTATTACAACTCTCTCTCAACCTTCTCCAGTTTAAACCGAGCCTAGTTAGCCATTTCCCATCAGAGTGCATGGATTTTGGCGCGCCGCGCTTTCTAGATTAGACAGAGATGCCCTATGAAAGCTGCAAGTCGATGGTTTTCAGATGGACTATCTCTCTAGCTCGGGCGCGACATTTTCTTCCTTCTCCTCTTTACAGTACCCGGCAGTGGACACTGATACGGGAAGCCCCATCTTCTGACCTCATCCTCACCAGCTCTGAGCCCTCCCATTGCTCAACCTTCACGAGGGCATGGCCAATCTTCTACTACGCAACACAGCAGGGACGGGATAAGAGGGTGAAATGGGCTGACAGGTCTGAAAACAAAACCAGCCCTTCCGGAAAGGTAAAATCAAGAGTAAAGGGAGGGGGATACGAGGAAACCCTATTAACTTCAGAGGAACGGCATGACCAGAGAGGACTTCCCTGGTCTTATCCCACGGCCCATTATGCTTTACTCGTTGCTTCTTCCGCTTCCCGTTCCGTTGATCAGAAGCTTGTGTCTATGGGAATTGGTTTGATTGAAAACCCTTTCCTGAGACAGTCTTCACCTATCAGATGGCTGCGGGCCAGGGCTTTTGTGCCTACCCACGTCTTCTTCCAACGGCTGACGATTCTCTGGCTTTTCCCGACCTGGCAATGGCCTGGCCAGGATCAACGACGAGAAGAAGAGTCGGCTGAGAGCTCCATAGTACTATACCCTAGCTCACCGGTCTATCCCCGAATCCGAAAGCGTCCATCCCATTACCTCGAAGGTCTGTTGTCTGCCATTTCAGGTTCTGAATAATTTGCTGCGCTTGTTGGCCGGTGAGTATGTGTCTGTGTGTGAGCCTCTGTCTTGCCTACACGCGTGAAGTCTCCCGCTGAGCGTTCAACGTCCTGTCATACACGATTTGAGCCACTCTCCGTCTTTATCAGCTTCATCCACACCTAAATGCACATGTACACACACTTAGACGGCGTCTTCAGAATTCATCAGTTGTCTACTCTGTACAGCTTTCTGGCTTTTACCCACTACCCTCCCACACACACCACTCCTTGATCGCTCAGTTACAGGAGACACCCCTCCCCCCTTGTGAGGAAAACCCCCCACACCCTCGTCGGTATTCCTCGTGCGTTCTGCATATGTATATGGAGAAGGTCAACCTCTGGGGTCTCATCTTTACATATGTAGCAATGCGAATGGCTTTAGGTCTCGCTTGTTTGCACTACACTACACATCTTGAAAACGATATACTCCTAACGGCCTGGCCTCGTGTTGGAACGTCCGCCTCAAGCTTTGCGGTCCACCATCAAAACTCTGTCTTGAGATTGCCGTCCGGATCGAGCTACTGGCGGTCTTTTCTAGGCATCGTTACGGCTCGCTGCCCTGTGGCTTTCCTCATCCGCCGGCCCACCCTCCACCGACTCAATCTGTTCTTGTCTTGCCTTTGTACATTGCCCTGCCGCGTTTATCCTGAGACGGTTCTGCTGTCTCCGCAATCTCCACGAGCTCAACGAGGAAAAAGCAAGTAAAAGAAACTTCCCGCTGTGTCTCACTTTGGTGTGCTTGCGCGTTGAAAGACAAGCCTTTTCCTGTCGGAGAAAGAAAGGGCTCACAAACAAACAACCGGCTCGAGGGTCAGAAGTTGAGGTCAACTTTCTGCGGCCTGACGAGTTCTAAACTCCACTGCACCGTCGTTGAGGCTGAATCTGCTGCGGGTTTGAGTGCCTGCGTTGTTCGTGCGCTTCGTTGGGCTGTGCAAAAGGTTTGCTGCAATATAATCAACTCCTATCTAGCACGGAACAAATTGCCCTGAGCTGGAACTGGAGGGATCGACGGTAAACCTGGATTCAATTCACTTTTGCACTTTTAGGAACCAATTCGGGCAAGACGATGCATCTCCCCATCGACTGGTGTCAAATGTGAGCAACATCACACCAAGTCTTTTTGTTCCCTCCATCTTCGCTTCCAGCTTCCAGGAACTCGGCACCCACCGTTTCACATCTTGTTCCCCGATAATTCTTGCAGACGAGACTGTTGGATCTATCATAATATTAAACGGCTTCAAAGCCTCCTTTTCCTTATCCGGTGCCAGCTAGGCAGCACATACAAACAATGAACAACCCCAATGGGACAACTACAATGGGACATGATAGCACCATGGCCCAGAGTAATGGATATGGGAGCGATGCCTGGACAAGCATGAGCCCTTACAGTCAGAGCCCATATAGCGCAAGTCCCTTGACTGAATATCCATCCTTTGGCGCCTTTGTCAGTCATGGACTGCCCTCGGAATCATTAAATCGAATGCCTCCTCCACCACCGCAAACACATCAGATGATACAGCCATCCCCAACTCCTATGGCTCATCATCAACTCCCCCTTCTGAATACAACTTGGCCGAGCCAGCTGACAAACCCGGCTCCGCCACAGAGTTACTCGGCACCACCATTATCAATGACACCTGCTACCAGCGCACCGCCCGTGGAACCCCCTAGGTTACCGACACAGCACGAGAAATCGAGGAAGACTCTTACCACGGAACAGAAACGAGCCATGTGCCAATTCCATGAAGATAACCCTGGTACCCGACAAGCCGATATTGGAGCCCGATTCGGCGTTGAAAGAAGGTAGGCATTTTGGATCCAAAGTTACAATTTGCCATGGAGAATCTGACAAACTTGACAACAGCACGGTTTCGAAGGTTTTGAGGCATAAAGATCAGTATTTAAAGCGAGACCAAGAGCCAGAAAATGCCGCTGTCAAGCGTGGCAAGGGCAAGCATCCAGATTTCGACCGGACACTCAGCAACTACGTCAGGAGACAGCAACAACGAGGATTCCAAGTCAGCGACGAGGAGATTATGGAACAGGCGAGGCTTTTTGCTCATGCGAGTGGAAACCAGGAGAGTGTCTTGAACAATTTGAATAGCAGCTGGCTGCAGAAATTTAAACAAAAGCATGGAATTGGACCAGGCAAGTTGATGCGGCGGGCTTCAGAGGCAAACATTCCGGATAGTGCAAGACTCTCGACACTTGCCTCGAAGTCGAGCGATTTATCGCCTTCGCCAACGGGCCAGCTTTCACCCCTTTCAGGAAGTCGGAGCGATGAGGAGGCACACGCTGATGGAATAGACTTTGACTTCGGGTATAAGCATCCCGAGTCCCAGTCAACAACTTCACTTTCGAGCGACTTTCGAGATAACACGGCCTCTTCATTCTCAGCTGGCACCATGAGCCCGACTGGAACTTTCACTTTCTCTCCCGACCCCAATGTAGGAGGTTTCCCTATGGATCAACTTCGAGGTACCGACTTCCAGCACAGAGAGAAGAGAAGCAACACATTCCCGTCACTCAACATTGACTACGTGAATCAAGTCTCATCGTCAACGGAACCAATGACTCCTCGCCACCCTCCATCTTCGACCGCACCGTCGTCGGCTTTAGAATCGCCGCAGCATGAACTTCAGGCGCCGTTTAGTATCGATACCAACGTCAACTCACCCCCTCCAATGCTGCGCCGCAGTAGCAGCAACTCAAGTATAAATCGATCCACAGCAGCGACAAGTGCTACTTCATCCACACCTGTCGATTCATCTCCAGTCTCGCCCTCCCAGGAGGACGCCCGCCGGGCTGCACAGACACTCCTGAATTACATCCAGACTGCTGGCACTTTCGATTCCAACGATTATATGTCAATCGTTCAGCTGACCAAAAAGCTCAAGATCCACCAAGGTAGACCGTCGATAGGAGGACTGTCTCGAATCCCGGAAGGTGATGTTGAAGCCCCTGTCCTCCTGCCGACGAAGATGGAATCGGCTTGAAGTCGGGCCATACTCATAGCATTGACTGTGTGTTTCTTTTTCGTACCTATGTCTTATCAATCAAGTCTCTTTTCAAATGGGATTTCCCCGAGGGCATAAGGGAGCTTAGAATATCGTGGTTGGGGCCATTTTGGGTCAGCGTCCTGCTCACGCGGGTAACGGACTATAAGAGCATTCGAAATCTGATGGCATTGGCCACGATTTGAAGTGTTTGTTGAGTCTGTTTTGCATTTCCAACCGCACTTTGGCCGACTATTTATTGAAAAAAAAAAAACCGAAATTAAAATAACAGAAACCCCAGGTTAACGGGAGCGAACTTTTTCTTATACTCGATACCACGCTTGGAAAGTTTATTCTGCCGCTCGCGCGAGCCCGAAGAATCATATACAAACAGTCGTCCACACGAAGCTACAATTCAAAACTGCTCGTTTCGAATACGAGGTGTGAAGGAAGAGGCAAAGGATCAGAAATAGGTGGAAATGATGAGGTCAAGGACAACATGGTAGCAGGGAAGGGGTACACATCAGGGCGACGATCTCGGCAACAACAGTTTAAGGGGCAACGCAACATGATGCGTTTGTCAATGTTTGTTTCCTTTTCTGAATGTTCTTTTTTACTCATACACATCTCTTCTTTTTTCCTGGTTGCATTTTACGGCATTGACGTGGAGGGATTAATTGTCTGCGCATACGCTCGTTTCTTTATATCATCATCATTTCTTGTCTATATTCTGTTCAAAGACGAGAAGGTATCTGCTGCGAGGCACGGCATGGCATGGTATGGCATGACACGTTACGGGGAACGAGGTGGCACATGGTTTACGAAGCGCCCTGTTGAGGTCGCTGTGGTTTTCAGGGCGGCAACGGAAAAGAGACCGAAGAGGCTCTTTGGTTGAGGAAATGAGTGCTGATTTTGGTTGAGCGTAGCCCACGAGCAGCTCCAGGGGTGTACTGGAGGTAGTCAAATGTCTGGCAGTCGAGGGCATCCTTTCTTTAGTTGAATGGGCGGCATTTGTGCATTTAGGAATGTCCTTGGTCTTGACCCTTATCGTTCCATATTGCCGTGATTTCTCTTAACTCTGATTAAGCATTATTAACTTGTCAACAAAGGGGTATCATCAATCTAAAAGAGCGTCTACAGATCTATTCAGCCAAGTCTTTCTTCCCAAAGCTCCGTCACACTTTTCTCCGTCAGTTCAGGCATCAGGCGAGCAAGTAGCAGCTCAAGAATGCTGTACATCAGATGCTTGTTGCAGTACTCATCGTCTAGCACAAGAAGCAGCCTCTCCATTTCATCTACCAGATCCTCGTCATCTGATAAATCACACTCGCTCTCCGCACTTCGCCGCCATAAGCGACCACCAAAATAAAGCCTTCCCACACCCTTCGGTAGCAACCCCCAAAGAGACTTAGCGGCTCTACGACGCAGGGCTTGCAGCTCGGCTTCGGAAGATGGTGGGAACAAGGTGGTCTTACCAGGGGCGTTATTGGGAAAGAGGACACCGCGAAGGGTACGCAGAAGAGGGGGCAGATTCGAGGGAGAGAAGAGGGAATTAATGTGATGCGAGAGGAGTCTGTGAGAGAGAGATAGGTTAGCACGTATTGGCCTTACTCTGTATTTGAGGTAGTACAACGTGGGGGGTTCAATGATCGGGAACGTTATATGCAATAAGGGGCACGTCGAGGGTATGTCGGGCTAGCTGGTGTGATGCGATGCAATGCAATGCAATGTGAGGGTGAGCAACAAAGCTCAAGGCGAGACGAGGCAGTTATTGGCCTATTGGCTTTCACTCTCTCTGGGCTGGCGCATAAAGTGGTGTCTCCATGTTGATCCGTCCCACGTTAGATGGATATGGACCTAATTGGGACCAGGGAAAGCTCTACAAGGCGAGGCTTGCAAGGTGCGGGGAAATGGATGAGGAGGCACATTCGTCGTCCGCGTCGGTAAAGGTCTCTCATGCAGATAGAGATGTGAGATTACACAACAGGTTTACAATCAGGCCGCGGTTGAGTGTGGGTAGCATATGACCAGTCAGCCCTGTTCTCGAACCACTCCTTCATCGTCAAGGATCGTGTAACAGCTCCGCGTGGAGGGTGCAGAAGACTCTGATGGACCCAACATGTCTCGGGTTCTGAGAAAGAGTTGAGGCCGACCGGTCAGACCAGCCCGGTCAAGCCAGACCGCTCCTGGAAGGTTCGCGAGTGTTGTGGCCAAGACTGCGGTGGAAATCTTGAGTATGGTTTCAACAGGCTAGCATAGCATAACCTCTTCGGAAATGATAAAGGTAGTCTTATAACGGGTGGCGCGGCACGGAGCGAGAGTCAATTCAAGCTCATTGCTGCATCTTCAAAGAGCGGGTGGTCCCTTTGGAGAAGCTGACATGGGCAGGGCGCGTAATCTTGACATTTCGCTGGATGAAAAGGCCTAGCTTCGTGCACCTTGTCAAGCAATCAGATGCCAAAGACAGCGCTATGCCTTTCGATTGGTTGAAAGCCCAAATCCCGAGACCCATATCAATCATGATCGCGACCACGAGAAACATGACAAGAAAAAGGGTCTTGTCTTGGTTTGATTATCCTCGTGTTGTAATTGTGGGCTGTGGGTTGCGTGGGCGTGCGAAGATGGCGGTATGGAAGAGGTTATAGACGGCATGGGCCGCTCCCAAGACAAGGCGGGCCGTTTGACCATGCCTGTGCCGCTGAAGAAATTATTGTTCTGAAAGCTCACTGGAGCTTCAGGAGGTCCCGTGACTTCAAACTCATGCGAGGTGAATACTGTCTGGTGACGGTATAGGTGTGAGGAAGTGGAATAGAAACGCTCATATCTTACCTGTCAATAGGGCCATCATGGCCAGCGATTCGTCCAGGTCCGTTGACCGCGCCGTATTGTAAAAGTGATAGAAATCCATCCAGCCAAGGCATGCGCAAGCTGAGCTCAAACAGATTTCCAAGACATGTCCATACTCGACACGATAGGATCGGCGCCTTAACGGGGTCGGATGACCTCGGCGGAGACTTGTCGTGATCCAGCAAAGCTTCTTTCTCGTCCAAGGGCGTGGCCCTAGCGGGAAGAGACGATGCCATCACCAGAGCAGTCGTGATAAACCGGAGCGAGGCAACTACCAGCATCCCAAGCTGAATAACGGCAAGGAACATAGACCTTACAGACCAGCTGCGACGGCCTTTTACGTCAATCTTGGGCCCACCGGAATCGTTTTGGGTCTCTGCAACCACTACCCCTTGGTCATTTCCCTGTCGCAAAACCCTGGCCGTGATGCAGATGCCCTCATACAGCATCCATGGCTGAGAGGCCTTATTGGCTATAACGTTACCAATGATAAGCTCCGAAAAGATCTGTTCAACGAGAGACGTGAGACAAGGGTTCTCGAGGTCTTCTGTGGGCAATAGGATCGCGAGGACGCCCTGAACCAGCAACTGGCGATACAATGCTTCATTCTCTTTCTGGTCGGATATCGTGTCTGGGCAGTCTGGGTGGGGGACTGGTGCAAGGTGTGGCAGAGGGCACATGGCGTGGTAGGCCTCTCGAGGGTCGACCTCAACAGGCTGTCTGGCGATAGGGCTATGAGAGATCCGGTAGGCTAGTCACCGTTAGATAGGAACGGCATCGCAGAGTTCAAGTCCTCACACGTTATGTGCTTGTCCAGCAAGTCAGGTATCTCGTCCAACACCAAGCTCTCCAGATCAACCTTGCGGAACCGCTGTTCCAAGGCCCGCGAACAGTGGGCGATAATGTGCAATATCTCTGATACAAAGTGTTCGTCCGTAGTGATTTTGCTATACCAGCTCTGCACGAATTCTCTCATGATAATAGCGAGCAGGGCGTACAACTGAAGGTCGACATCATTGCGACTAGTCAATGGTGGAAGCAGCTCGTCGATAGGCACTTGCGAATCGCGGCTCTTCTCTCCCAGCTGAGGGGAGCAGAGGGTACGACGTATCAGAAGCGAAGTCGCTCGGTCGGACAAGGGATCGGTAGCATTAGAGCGTAACGGACGACGAGTAGGTGAGGCCATATCGGCAGAGGTCGGCGACTCGGTATCAAAGGCAACCGATTTGGGGCGTGGGGCTGGCGGACGGGCAGGAGGTACGGCCGGAGCCAGAGAGGGAGTAGCGGTCATGGCCGAAGTGATCGGCGAGTCTCCAGTATCATGGCCTGGTCATCAAGCGGGAGGAAGATGGCGATGGCGAGTTTGAGCGATGTTTGATTTCGAGGTTTGGGGTTGAAGTCAAGTTAACATCGGGTCGCAGGGCAGGCCGCATGCATTCCATGTTAAGCTCCTGGCTCCTGCCCGCGCACGGCACGGGTTGGCCCGTTACCTGAACCGTGCACTGCAGGCGCGGGGAGGCCGCATGCATGAGATACCCATGCTGTAACTTCCCGAGTAACAGCAATGGACATTCCAAACATACTAAAGTGGTATAAATTGATTGAATACAGTTCAAGCCATAGAACAATCAGTACCTACCTTGAGCTGGGGTAATTTTCAGTGACGGAAACGTAGAAATTCTGTTTCAGGAGATGTTCTTTTTCTGCTACCGCTCATCCTCAAAGATGTTTCACTCAGAGAAAGGAGAAATGCGTCCGGTCCTATGGAATCTACCGACTGGCACCTATACTACAGATTCTGTACATTATTGGTACAACTACCCCCTCGCTTTTATCTACATAAGACTATATTCAGGCGTCTCTTGTGGCCGTCTCATATCTGCAATTGTACGGTCAGCTCAGCTCGTTTTCAACAATGGATTGACAACAATATACCTCTTACCACGGAATGCCCACACCCCCCAGTTACCACAGCTGATGTCCTGGGGGTCCATGTCGTTCAGATCCCATCGGAGACTCCTGAAAACGTTCTCTCCAGGCTGCAGAAGAATATCAAACTCGCCCTTCGACTTCTTGTTCACCCACTCGACGTCGCGTTCCATATCAAACTGGGTATAGCCTGTGCTGATAATGGGGATCTTAGTCTCAAGGAGAAGGGGTAGGGTTTCTTCCCACTCGTGACTGCTTGCAGGATGACCCAGACCAGGGTGGAATAGCACAAAGCAGTCGAAGTAAGGATCATATGGTGCAAAGTGTTGCGTCTGGTGGACTGTGTGGTAGTAATCCACGATTGTACTTATCTTCATCTTGTACCAGACGCGATCCTCTACGACGGCTCCAAAGGGGTTTGAAGGGGTACGTTCTGGCAACGGGAACTCATCGTCTCGGTTGGCCATGCTTTCAGGCCCAACAAAGATGAGGTGTAGTCTGGCTTCGGGGAACATATGTGCCAGCTGAACCCAAGCAGGTCGAGGGAGAGAAGACTCAGCACGAGCTCCCAGGATGAAAATTCTGACAGCTGGTGCCTCGGGTTTGAGCTCACCAACGCCAGTTCCTCGACCTGACTTGGGAGGATGCAAGTTGTATCTCAATGCTGGTATCATCAATCAGTTCATGGCTATTCTCTGGTCAGTCGTTGCACTAACCGCTGAAACTCTTCAATCCCTCTGTAGTCATTCGCTCTCCAGCCTTGATACTGTAAGGGCTAAGTTCATGGAGAATACTGCCAATGGTTACGGGGTAAGTCAAGAGCCGGGTAATCTGTCTCATCTGACGATCAGAGTTGACAGCATCAAACTCTCGTGTATACATGAAAGTATCCCAATTTGTCATGTTGATAGCCGCATGTTCCATCTGAAGATCTGGGAGGTTGCCTTCTTCGAATACTCGGCCCGAGCGCAAATCATGGTCATCTTCGTTAATCTGTCTAAGAGTGTCGCAAACTTCCAAGTGCTTTTCGTAATCATCCATCCAATGTTCCTCACAGCAATAAACTGGTAAGCCACAGTCTGGGCATTCAAAGTTGACGTGCTGGGGCGGCTGGGTTCCTTTCGCAGCCTCAGGATCCTCGGGTTTCGGGGCAATGGTAGGAAGCTTCGTTTGCTGGTGATCGGGGTGAGGGCAGTAGGCATGCTGTCGCATAAAAGCAGCTCGTTGCCGGAACTCTGGTACTGGCGACTTTGAAAACGGATGAAAGAGGTTGTCCTGACTCAGGCGTAATGGTGACGGAGACGTCTTGTTGGTGAAAGATGCGGTGGCCTCAGATTTTGTCACTGAGGAAGTAGAAAAGTCTCGGTTCTTGGGCGCGGGCGCGGCTCTTTTCTGGTCCTTGATAGTTGAATTTCTGCGGACATGATGGGCTGATATTCTCATCCACGGCTTAGCTACCGCTCCAGAGGCCAATTGCCTCCGAACAGTTGCAGAGCATTGCCCACAGATGCTCGAGGCTGCTTTCCTCAGAGTGGGCTCCATCTTATGGACAAAATCAGCCAAATCCCGGACACAATTCAATACCCAGACTTCTTCGGAAGGCCTGATATCGCTGAAGTGGGATAATTCAAAGAGCTCGGACCACAATCATCTGCGCCGCAAAATAATTCCTCCGAAGCGCGCCAAACTTTTGACATCAAAGCTCGCTCGAGTTTCAAAAGCTCCAACCATCAGCTTCGACGCGACACAATCTGACCTGCCTTTGTCTTTGAAGCCGCGCAGGCTCATCTGCGCCTAGCCGCAAACATGGCGACCACGTCGAACATGTTCTTGTACTCGCTGACGGTTCAGCCGCCGACAAACGTCACGCAAGCGGTCCTGGGCCAGTTCGCAGGCACTAGAGAACAGCTTATCATCACTGCTGCTGGCTCGCAGCTCTCCCTACTACGACCCGATCCATCCCAGGGAAAGGTGATTACCCTCCTATCACATGATGTCTTTGGCATCATCCGTTCCCTCGCCGCTTTTCGGTTAGCTGGTAGCAATAAGGGTAAGTCAATCCAATACCCCTCTCAGGAAAATCACTTAGTGATATTCGAAAGCGATGCCACAGACGCGTCGACCACAGCGCTACCGAGTACTTGATGTCCTGTTACAAGAATCCCAAAGCTAACAAATCTTCCAGACTACTTGATCATTGCGTCCGACTCTGGTCGTATCACAATCATTGAGTACCTCCCTGCACAGAACCGCTTTCACCGTTTACATCTCGAAACTTTTGGCAAATCCGGTGTACGGAGAGTCATTCCTGGCGAGTATCTAGCCTGCGACCCTAAGGGCAGAGCATGCTTAATTGCCTCAACTGAGAAGAACAAACTTGTCTACGTTCTCAACCGTAACTCACAAGCTGAGCTCACAATCTCGTCACCGCTTGAGGCCCACAAACCTGGCGTCCTGGTCATCTCCATGGTTGCGCTTGATGTCGGCTACTCGAATCCAGTGTTTGCCGCTCTCGAGATTGACTACTCCGAGATTGACCAAGACTCGACCGGCCAAGCAATGGAAGAGTTGGACACTCAATTGGTTTATTACGAGCTTGATTTGGGACTCAATCACGTTGTGCGCAAGTGGTCAGACCCTGTTGACCCAACAGCCTCAATTCTGTTCCAGGTCCCTGGTGGAAATGATGGGCCTAGTGGTGTGCTCGTGTGCGGTGAGGAAAATATCACATATCGACACTCAAATCAGGAAGCGTTCCGTGTTGCCATCCCTCGTCGACGCGGCGCCACTGAAGATCCAAACCGCAAGCGCACGATCGTGTCTGGTATCATGCACAAGCTGAAAGGCAGTGCAGGCGCGTTTTTCTTCCTCCTGCAAACAGACGACGGTGATCTCTTCAAACTCTCGATCGATATGATTGAGGATGAGGAAGGCAACCCCACTGGAGAAGTCAAAAGACTCAAGATCAAGTATTTTGACACCGTTCCGGTCGCCTCAAGTCTCTGCATTTTGAAGAGCGGTTTCCTCTACGTTGCTTCTCAGTTTGGTAACTACTCATTCTACCAATTTGAAAAGCTCGGTGATGACGATGAGGAACTAGAGTTCTACAGTGATGACTTCCCCGCGGATCCCAGGGCTTCTTACGAACCGGTTTACTTCCACCCTCGGCCAACTGAAAACTTGGCCCTGGTCGAGAGCATCCCTGCCATGAATCCCCTCCTAGATTGCAAGGTCGCAAACCTCACTGGAGAAGATGCACCTCAAATCTATACCATTTGTGGTAACGGCCCCCGAAGTAGCTTCAGGATGCTCAAGCATGGTTTGGAAGTCAACGAGATTGTTGCCTCTGAACTGCCTGGAATTCCTTCTGCTGTTTGGACGCTGAAGCTGAATCGCTCAGAACAGTATGATGCTTACATTGTACTATCATTTACCAACGGTACGCTAGTCCTCAGTATTGGCGAGACTGTTGAGGAAGTCAGTGACTCCGGTTTTCTCACAAGTGTTCCAACGCTGGCGGCCCAGCTCCTTGGTGATGATGGGCTGATCCAGGTTCATCCCAAGGGCATTCGACATGTGCGTAATGGTCATGTCAATGAATGGGCCGCCCCGCAACATCGCTCCATTGTTGCTGCTACAGCCAATGCTCATCAGGTCGCTGTCGCTCTCAGCTCTGGTGAGATCGTCTACTTCGAGATGGATGCGGACGGCTCACTGGCTGAGTATGATGAAAAGAAGGAGATGTTTGGTACCGTTACTTGCCTAAGCCTGGGTGACGTCCCCGAGGGACGATTAAGAAGTTCATTCTTAGCCGTCGGTTGTGACGATTGCACTGTCCGCATTCTAAGCCTGGATCCAGAGTCGACTTTGGAAAACAAGTCAGTTCAGGCTCTTACGGCTGCTCCAACATCGCTAGCAATCATCGCAATGGATGACTCCTCGTCGGGCGGTTCTACCCTCTATCTCCACATCGGTTTACACTCCGGTGTCTATCTCAGGACAGTTCTTGACGAAGTCACTGGTGAGTTGACAGACACGCGCCAAAAGTTCCTCGGTCCCAAGGAAGTCCGACTTTTCCAGGTCACAGTTCAAGGCAAGACATGCGTGCTTGGTCTAAGCTCCAGGCCTTGGCTTGGTTACGCAGACCCGATCACAAAAGGTTTTGTAGTGACGCCCTTAAACTACGTCGACCTTGAGTGGGGTTGGAACTTCAGTAGTGAGCAGTGCGAAGAAGGCATTGTTGGTATCCAAGGTCAATCATTACGGTACGTCGTTATTCCTTTTTCTTACTCCTGATATTCGGTTGCATATGATGAGAAAACGGGATCCTATGCTTTAAGCAATGAGGCCTATTACGCATTTTTTTCCAATTGTTCCTACTGAAGCAACACATTCCTACAATGTTCCTATGGCATCATAAAGCGAGGCGTGCGCTAACGCTGGCAGAATTTTTAATATCGATCGGCTTGGCGATACACTCATCCAGAAATCAATTCCTTTGACTTATACCCCGAAGAAACTTGTAAAGCATCCTGATCAGCCTCTCTTCTACACTATCGAGGCAGACAACAACACTTTACCACCTGAGTTACGTGCACAACTTTTGGCAGACCCCAAAATCGTCAACGGTGATTCTAGAGTGCTCCCACCTGAAGATTTTGGCTATCCCAAAGGTACACGTCGATGGGCATCTTGCATTAATGTGATAGATCCACTGTCCGAGGAAGGACAGGTTGTGCAAACGATTGATCTGGAGAACAATGAAGCAGCCGTCAGTGCAGCCATCGTGTCTTTTTCAAGCCAAGATAACGAGAGCTTTTTGGTAGTTGGTACCGGCAAAGACATGGTGGTCAATCCTCGCAGCTACAGCGAAGGATATCTACACATTTACCGATTTCAAGATGGGGGGCGAGAACTTGAATTCATTCACAAAACCAAGATTGAAGAACCACCTCTAGCTCTTTTGGCTTTTCAAGGAAGAGTAGCTGTTGCAGTTGGTACACAGTTGCGTATATATGATCTTGGCATGAGACAGATGCTCCGCAAATCTCAGGCTGAAGTAGCAGCGCAGCAGATCGTGTCGCTGAACACCCAGGGCAGTCGAATTATTGTTGGTGATGTTCAGCAGGGCGTAACCTACGTGGTATACAAGCCTGCGTCGAACAAACTCATTCCCTTTGTCGATGATACCATCGCAAGGTGGACCACATGCACGACCATGGTAGATTACGAGTCGGTGGCCGGCGGTGACAAGTTCGGAAATATGTTCATTGTCCGCTGCCCTGAAAAGGCCAGTGAAGAGGCTGACGAGGAGCAAACGGGCTTGCATCTTATTAATGCGCGAGAATATCTTCACGGTACACCTCACAGAGTAAGTCTGATGTGCCATTTCTACACACAGGACATACCAACCAGTATCACCAAAACGAGTCTGGTAGTTGGTGGGCAGGAAATTTTGCTATGGAGTGGTATCATGGGCACTATCGGAGTTTTCATACCATTTATCAGTCGTGAAGATGCGGACTTCTTCCAGAATCTCGAACAACACCTAAGGACCGAGGACCCCCCGCTCGCCGGACGAGATCATCTCATGTATCGCGGTTATTATGCTCCTGTCAAGGGAGTCATTGATGGCGATCTATGCGAGCGATACAACCTCTTGCCCAACGACAAGAAGCTTATGATTGCCGGCGAATTGGACCGATCGGTCCGAGAGATCGAGCGGAAGATTTCTGTAAGTTCTCCTTGGCGCGACGTTTATATTCTCACAATGTGCTAACCAAAGTTCAGGATATTCGTACACGGTCTGCATTCTGATGAAGGAAAAGTGGTATCTTTAGTATATCCTATGAAGCCATTGTACAAAACTTGAAGTGTTTGGGTTGTTGGCGGCGTTAACGTACAGGGCTAAAAGTCCCTGTCTTGGAAGAAAACAGGTAATCAACGAACCGAAGCGTGTGTTTAGAACCGCGACGCGGTACGAACCATGAATCTAATAATCAATCCAAAGCTCGATCAGAGTCCTCTCCAAAACGGGCCACGGTTCTTATATTTGTCGGCCTTCTTACTTTTGCCAGAGGCTGGATTGTCTTGCTCCCATTTTTCATCGTCCAAATATGCTGTAACAGCGTTCTCAAGATCATAGCTAGATTGTTCCAAGTACAGCACAGCGATGTCATAGTCGGAGACTTTGCAGGATGTCATGAAGCGGCGAATCTTGCCCTTCCTCAGCTCCTCATCTTCGCCCTCGACGGGCCGTGGTGAGAGACTAACTCCGCCCTTGTAATACTCGCCAGGAATCAACACTGTTCGTCTTCCGAGAATCAAGTGGTCGCTCGTGATGTTATTACTTCGCCGCAGAGCATGAGTGGGCACGCCGTACCGAAGAGATAAGGAGCTGACGCTGTCATGGCGATGGTCAAGGAAATGCAGGATATCCGGAGCATCTTCTTTTATAACATCTTGCGCCAACGCTGCCTTCTCATCGTCGACATTCGGCGTAGGTGAGGCTGCTGAGTATGGTGGCGGCGCGCCGGAGATATGTGCAGTCCTTGAACTGGACGATGGCAGCGATGTATAAGCCGGCGGTTCCCTCAACCCTTGCGGCAGAGAAGTCGGTCCTGTCGAAACCTGACAATATGGACAATAGTCGGCAAATCGCTCGTTCTTCTACCAAGCAAGAGTATCAGTTTCAGCCTGAATAGAAAATGATTGTTTAGATAGATGACGAACATGAATACATTTGCCACAGATGATTCTAGCACAGCACGCGACTCGACGGTCTTGCGGAAGAGATAGTTTCTCTTTCGTGTACGCTGGCGTTGATGAGAGGATGGTTGCACACGTCGAGCAAGACTCCATGATATCGCGAGTATTGAAGATCAGTTTTTCAGAGGTTTAAGAAATAGATTCGTATCTAAGGGTTCTACAGTACCTTTGAAGGTTGCACACCTATCCTCCCACGAAGGTCATAGTTGTCCAATCACGTCATGAGGACGCTAGTGGCCTGTACAGTCGCCACTGTAAAATGGGTGGTTGCATATCGATCATATCCACGCGACTCAAAAAGACGTTATCATAAGCAGAAATATATAGAGGAAAACAATGAATTATATTTTGACTGCTCAACTTGAAAGTTTTCTCTTACCACCAGCCCTACTCAGGTTTCTATATTTCCATATTGTCCCAATCAAATGTGACCTTGAATCTCAGGTGTCTCCGCTGAGCTTTTCACCTTTGTAGCAATCCCAAGTCAAGACTCTTTAACTTTAATCTTTCAACTTACCAGGTCCACCATTTCCAACGTCGCGTAACATCTATACGTGTTCAACCTATACTTGGCGCAAGTCATATTACAGCGATCTATAAGAGCACCCAACATGAGCAAACCATTGGCCTTCGGCCTCAACCTTAGCAAGAAGCCAGGCGCGTCGAAGCCCCCTCCACCAAAGCGAAGGCCGATGTTTGGTGACGATGATGATTCGGACAACGAAGGCGCAGTCGGGGAGGGCAAAGCTGAAGAGATTGGAGAGTTCGATGCCCTTGGTCGCGCTCAAGAGGCAAAAGCCAACATCACCAAGTTAGGCAAACCGAAGGGTGGCCCTCCGACTCAACCCCCGAAGCTCAAATCCAAGGGTCAGCCAAACATAATGTTTGGGGATCTCTCTAGCTCTCTGACATCACGAAGAAACGCCGAGTCGGCCGCGGAAGTCGATGCTAGCGTCTACGAGTACGATTCTGTTTACGATTCTCTCAAACCAAAGAAACAGGCTACGAAGGAGGATCAGGAAAAACGACCAAAATATATGAAAGACATCCTGCAGGCAGCCGACGTACGGAAGCGCGACGCACTGATTGCAGAAGAGAAGAAAATTGCCAGGGAGCGAGAGGCCGAAGGGGAGGAATTTGCCGATAAGGAAAAGTTTGTCACAGAAGCATATCGGAAACAACAGGAAGAGAACAAGAGGCTTGAAGAGGAAGAGAGGAGACGGGAAGAGGAAGAGGCAAAGAAGAACAAGAGTGGTGGCATGTCTGCCTTCTACAGAAAACTCCTCGATAAAGATGAGCAAAGGCATTCGGATGCTGTCAGGGCGGCTGAGGAAAAGGCTAAGCACGGCGCACCCGAGGAGGAAAATGCAGATGACGACAAGCAAGAGAAGGAGAAGACAGAGGCCGATATCGCCAAGGAGCTCAACGAGAAGGGCGCCGCAGTTGCCATCAACGAAGACGGTCAAGTGGTCGACAAGCGCCAGCTTCTCAGGGGTGGCTTAAACGTTGGCGCAAAGAAGAAAGAATCAGTCCAACGCGAAGCGGAACGACAAGCCGAGCGGCCGCGGAAGGATGTCGCAAATCAGCAGTTTGGAAGAAAGCAAGCTCAACGAGAACGACAGTCACGCATGATCGAGGAGCAGCTCGAGCAGTCAATGAAGCGATCACGGGATGAAGAAGCGGCACAAAAGGAGGAAGTTGAGCGAGCATCGAAGAGCCGGAAGACAGAAGGCGAGATCTCAAGTGCGAAGGAACGATACCTGGCTCGAAAACGAGCGGCCGAAGAAGCGAAGAAGACCGCTGGGGGAGCTTAGATACCCAAACTCGGGAACTGAAGAAGATTGTATACAACGACATGGCATGGCTTTTGACATAACATCCCAGTCATGTCTCCTCCGGTTCGTCTATTGCCCTGTTCTATCCTTAATCGGTTCTTCGTACATGATAATATCTCCTCGTGGGTGTCATCCGACCCGTGTTGTCACAATATGTTACAATCTTGCGCTTTCATAAAAATTGTCGCAAGCCGTTGGTTTTTGATTTTGAGAATCTTCGCTTCTTCAATTCTGCAAGCTAGCAGACTCTTGCCTTAATCGGGCAATGTACGCTGCGTTGACCATGTTCCAAGCGGCCATGTACTTCTCCATGCAGCTGGTCATGCAAGTCGTCTCGCCGCTCGATAGAGAAGTTCCGGGCTTGGGGACGCACTTCTCAAAGCAGGTCTCTTGGAGTTTCTGTCATGGGCCATTGTTAGTCTTGAGAAGAAGGTAGGAATTGTGAAATGGGCGGACCTCAATGAGAGTGCGGGCGTTAACCAGGTTGGCCTCCTGTTGGACCTGCTTGATGACAGCAGCCTTGACTTGTGTGGAATCCATGTTTGTGATTGTTTGGTTTAGAGTCGTGACGTTGTCGGTCATAAAAGCAAAGCTTGGGCGCCTGTCTGTCGCAAAAAGATAGCGGGCTGGAAAAATCAACGGTCCGGGGTAGGTTAGACATGACTCAGCAGCTCGATTCAATTCAAACCCAGCAGCTTGGACGTGACCTCTTTCCGAGTCATGATGATATTGGTTTTGGGTTCATTATGTGCACATACGGGCATCGTTTTGAATTGATATTATATTGCTGATATTCCTAACTAGTTTCTATGTTGTTCACACTCACATGTTGAACAAGCATACTCAGACGTAACATGTAATGCACTGTGGATGTACACCAATGATGTTACCATTACAGTATATATGCATTAGTGAGAGTGCCGTCATACATTCGGACCAGAATATAATATAAGACCAATTTCAACTAAATTGGGATAAACTTACATGATTTCATATTCAATCCCAGAACAGCTTACCCGAATCGACAGAATGGTTCTTAGCACAATGAATGCCTTGGTGGTGGAGGTGCCAGAGAATGGTTCCAAGCCTGAGCTCATCAAAAAAACAAATCTCGCCGCCAATGCTTGAACCTCACGAAGCCCTGGTCAAGGTTGCAACTGTAGCACAGAACCCAACGGGTGGTCAGTCTTTCTTAACCATTATGAAATCCTTGTACTGACGGTTTGCAGTCCAGGCTTTTGACCTAAACCTTTTCGGCAACGGCACTGTGCTTGGTTGTGACTTTGCAGGCAAAGTCGAGCGTCTTGGTAAAGAAGTCTCTAAAACTGCAGAGGGCGATACGATTGCTGGCCTTCTCTGGGGTGGTAAGCTCAACGTCTCTATGCCTACATACCACGGCTGATATGATATGATTAGGCGAAGTCAAAGGTATAGGAGCATTTAGTGAATACACGAAGGCCCATGAAAGTATCTGCTTCCGAGTGCCTAAGAATGTTTCACTCCGAGAGGCTGCCACTGTACCGCTAGCGTCTTTGACGGCTTAGCTTGCCTTCTTTTCGAAAGATAGTCTCAATATTGACCGCACCCAATCGGACACTGTTGTGTTGATTTGGGGCGGAAGCTGTAAGTAATCCAACTGCTAATGCTTCGAACGGAGTGTTGACATGAATCAGCGAGCGTTGGGCAATACGCCATTCAGATTGCAGCAATCTTTGGGTTCAAGATTGTCACAACTTGCAGTCCTCACAGTTTCGACCTTGTCAGGTCACTTGGAGCATCCCACGTATTCGATTATAACGATTCTGATGTGGTGAAATCGATCAAGGATACCGCACCTGGTTTGCGATATGTGTTCGACACCATTGGCAACGAAATGTCTTCCACAACTGCATCCCAAGCCATTGATAAGACTGGCGGCACCCTCACTACTGTCAGGCCTGATATGAGCCTCACTGAAAATGTGACGAAGCAGACCAAAGTCACACCCGTGCTTGTCTGGACCGCTTTCAACAGAGTTATCCAGTACAAGAAGGCTCAATTTCCTGTAAGTGCTTCGATTATACTGATGGCCGTAACTGATAGCGTTATAGGCAAGCGAAGACGATCACAAGCTCTGTGCCGAATTCAATGAGAAACTCCCTGTGTGGATTGAGGAGGGCAAGATCAAGCCTAACAAACCAAAAGTTATCCCTGGTGGGCTGGACGCTGTTGTGCAAGGGTTTCAGGAATATCGGGATGGCAAGATTTCTGGTTACAAGCTCGTGTATGAACTCTGATTTGCTTCTGACTCTCGTGAATGAATAAGTTTCTCATGTCGATAGGGTATAGACATAGTCATTAGCATGTAAGCAAATGGTTCCTAGGAGCTGAGATCGTGAAATAAATACTCTGTATATGCATGTGAAAGAAAATGTGGCTATTATGTGGCTTTAAAGTTTCATCAAGGGTCAAGTGGCAGGGGTTCCAGCGTCCAGAGTGGGAAAGTACCTGCAGTGGGGAGCACTCACCTAAAATCGTTTCGGCCACAGGCAGAGTCCAGAGGAAGAGGACACTTGTGCTAGCTCCTGTCCCGATTAACAACCCCCTACATTTATCCGCAACGTCACAACGACTTTGACAACGACCACTGTGGTCAATTTCTTCCTGTTCCAGCACCAAACCTCACGACTTTGTTGCCGCATCCTAGAGCGTTTTGCGCCCATATCGAGCCAGCTCTAATTGGCCCTGTGCGAGAGAAGAGAGCAGGGAAGAGACACCACCATAATATAGCTTCATCATGCGGTTGCCCTCACTATCAGCGGCGCTCCTTGGTGCGCTCGCATGGACTGCCCGCGCTGATGATCTTGATGATAACATCAGGAGTATTTCGGTATGCGCCCCTGCCTTCTTCTGGCTGATCGTCTTGAGCTTCTTTGCTAACGTTCTTCACTCTCTAGCTCAGGACACATTCCTTGACCCAGGTTAGTTGCGGCGCACGCGAGCAGACGTTCACAGATCGACAGATCAATTAACTCTTTTACTCGAACAGCCCTACCTTGACTCGGACATGCAAAGCCGCTGGTACGACTTTGGCGGAGATACCATTATTCGAACCGATTCGTATGCATCCTCAATTCGCTGACAACGACATACTTCGGATATGGGTTGACTTGTTATAGGTACATCCGACTTACTTCGGATCGTCCATCGCAGTCAGGGTGGATGTACTCACGAGTTCCCCTCACTGCGACAAACTGGCAGGTCGAGGTTGAATTCAAGATCTCGGGCAAGAACCAGCTCTATGGAGACGGTTTTGCTATGTGGATTACCCGCCAGCGTGCGCAACAGGGTACTGTCTTTGGAGGGCCTGATAACTTCGAAGGCCTCGGAGTCTTCATCGATACTTACAAGAACAACCGTCCCGGCGTTGTCTTTCCCTATGTCATGGCCATGTATGGCGACGGCAAGACCTCATACGACAAATCCAACGATGGAAAACACACCGAGCTCGCTGGCTGCTCTGCGCGTGGTATTCGACATGCGAGTGTCCCTACCAAGATGCGCCTCACCTACTTCCAGGACAAACAACTCAAGCTGGAGCTCCAGTACAAGGTTGAGGATGAGTGGCAGACATGCTTCGACCTCGAGGAGCCCCCGGCCATTCCTAACATTGCCTATGTTGGTTTCACTGCTGAGACTGGTGAGCTCAGCGACAACCACGATATCATCTCCGTGGCGGCCAAGAACCTTTATACTCAGCCTGGCACCAGCAACACTGGCAAGTCATCTGGCACTAAGAACAAGGGACGCAAGGGCACCGGTAAGACCGCCAACGGAAACAAGCAGGGCGGTAGCTGGACATGGTTCTTTACCAAAATCATCCTGTTCATTATTGTTGCTGGCGGTGCTTATGTTGGCTACACTGCCTACCGAGCCAAGGCCAAATCGCACAGGTTCTAGACTGGATAGCCGAAGACGAATGGGGCCAGCGCCTGAAATGAAGGGACGGGAACAGATTGGTGAGACAAAAAGTCTCCGCTTAGACAGCATCATTCAGCTTTCCTTGAATCTTTTGTATCTGTGTTTTGAGTAAGGGAGAGGCGACGAGAAGGGTACAAGTCGGTGAGCATTGTGACATACCTTTGATACGAAAAAACAATCTATTATTTTGTTGTGTTATGACTACTGGTTCCTGGTTCGAATGTTCCTGCTTTCAGAACCTGCATTTAGAAATTGACTTTGTGAGGTAGAGTTGTTAGTAGAAGGGAAGCCTTGTATTGAGAAATACTGCCATTGGTATCGTTAACTAGGGACAAACGCATCGTCTGTAGACCAATATGGACAAGTCGATCGAGCTTTTGGCTTTTTTTTTTGGTGAAATAAATAAATAAATACTATACATCCACAATCAATGATCAATTAATAGGTAAATTCAAATTAGCTTGGCGGAGAATCATCGATGGTTCCTGAAAACGGCGAACTTCAGGGTAACTAATTTTCCTTTGAGACAGGTTGCACACAGAGGCAGGGATCGTCATAGACATGACTTGGTGAACTCGCTGTGCCCTGTCGGAAATAATTGATCAGATTTGGGTATATCTGAACCATTGGGATAGGCGAGAGATGTTGAGCTAACGCCTAGTAATGAAACGATTTGTCTTTACTATGTACTCATGACGGTTTGAGTACTAATTTATAAATGCTGAAAGTCAACCTAGCCTGTATGAAATAGGAGGTATGATAGTAACTTGAGTTGACAGAAAGGACACACACAGCCTCTTTTGGTACAAGTAGAATAAAGGCAAGCCTCAGACAATAGATAGAGCTGCAATTCGGACTTTGATTTCGTGCAAGGCACAGTGCAACACCAGATTAATGTATGGATGTTCAGATAACCTAGACTCCAAATCCCCGAATTATTAGTGATCAAACTGAGCACAAAGGAGATACGACATTCCACTGCATTCAGGTACACGAGAAATTCATCTCATCTAATCACTACACGTTCCAGCGGGCGCACTAATCCTGAGCCGGGAGCTTGATTGAGTTATGACTGATCTCAAAGTCGGTGTTGGTCTAGTTGATCATCCACTCATACAAAAGCCCTCTCTCCTCTCTAGATTTAGGTACTTAACCTAGTAACTTCTAACACAGGAAGCTCCCGTCGGCTCACAGATCATCCACCCCGCCTTTGGCTCGCGATAGCCCACTTTCACTCTATAACTAGCGACGCCAAGCGCCGAATCTCGTCCAATGTCAAGATAGTAGTTTCATCGGCTCTTTGCCGTACTCCATTGTGCTGTGTTGTTTTTCTTTTCGCTGTAGCTTCTGATGTCAGCTTTTGAAACACCCAATAACCGATCAGATCCTACTTGTGTCTTTTGTCTTTGCTGAGCAATCGAGAATCTCTCTCCCTTCCATTCCAATCCGATCTAGTGAGATCCCTCTCATACAGGGCGCCAACCCTCTCAGCTGCCTCGACTTTTCCTCACCCAGCTCACCTTGTTTGGATCTACTCATTTGGATTTGATCTTCTACATATTTCATGTGCATCTCCATCATCGTCATCGTCAACATCAATCAATCCTACCTTATTGCCTGACTCAATTGTCGTCACTCGTGTACTATCCGGTCTTTTTGCACTCTATCATACGTCTCGCCGAGTACTCGCTGCTCTTTGCCCTCGGTATTTCCACTTTTACCCAAGTCTCTACTAAAACCATCGACATCATTGCATTGCTCTTTATGCTCTGACCCAACCCGTGTCATTCTCGCTATACTCACGGATGCTACGAGCTACTATATGCTAGACTTGCAGATCAGCCAACCAATTGCCGCTAAAGAGATCTCGTCTTGACAAGCTGGCGCCTCGTTCTGGACACGAACGGACACAAAGCACCGCAAGCGAGCTCACAAGAGCGAAGAAACCCGCAGCAACAACAACTCGCGACATCATCTGTGCCTATCAGTATCAGCTCCCCCTTGTGTGCAATCGTTGATCCGATCATAAAAGAGGGGCAACTTTCGTTGTGGGCGAAGCTCCAACTACTACATCATCACCAGCCTGCTTAAACCTTGTACTGTTACTAGCTTGCTTAAGGTACCTTGTCCTGGCTTGCCCTGCCTTCACAATCATTCATATCCCCATCGTCTTGTGCGAAGATTTTGATCACTCACAATTAGACGGGCTCAGTTTTGGCTTGGCTGTTTAAACGGTGAAAAACCAAAACCAAAACCAAAAGCATCGTCCAACGTACGGAAATTCTCAAACGAGGGATCTTTGGCTATTCGTATCCTATCCCTCCACCTTTGCCAGCCACCAGAGAGAGCCAAGGAATAGTATCAGCCATCCAATTGCCGGCCTCGGGTGGAATGCGCCAAGAGTCCAAATCCTTTGTTCACTTACGAAACCAAAAAGAAAAAATAAACAAAGCCCAGGTTCTCACCACCGAGCATTGTCTTTATTCTCCCTGTCCTATCCATGCATGCTTGTTAAGCCTATAGCTCTGGATACCGTTGTTTGTCTAACATCTGAGCGAGCTGAAAGAGAGCTCCCCCACAGAAAGACAGGCCGGTCTTGAACAGACCAGACCAGACCAGACCAGCACGTCAGTCTCCAGCCTCTCCCCACTATTACGTTGCTGTACCTGAACTTGAAAGAGCTGCAATTGCAAGGTTAGCTCGGGCTAGTAGGTTGCACCAGGCGAGCTCACTGACCTCCTGCTGGTCCAGGAGAAGCAAACGTGCTCCAATCCTTCCAACTTTGCTGTCTCATCCATCTGTCCCTCTCTATTATCTCTCTGTATCTGCCGTCCCGTTGTCAATCAATCGGAGAGCTCTCAGTAAGGCATAATTCAACCGGATATCCCACAATTGGATCCATCCACATCCACCACAAGCCCACCACAAACCAAGCTGAGAAGCTGGGCTGGGTAAACTGACCTGTTCCGTTCCGTTCGATCGATCTGCAGAGAGTGTTTCCTCATCTTTGGGTCCATTCTACCGCAACCACCACCACTCCTACACACTACCTACCTACCTATCTCATCCCCTCCCCGCTTCTCTTGCAATTCTCTCCCCCTCTCTTCCTGTCGTCACACTATTACTACCCTATGCCTTCACTGGGGTTTCTCAAGAAAAAGCGGACCAGAGAGGGCAACTCTGACCCTTCTGCCTCAAGTCCAACTAGTCCAGTTACTCCTACCACTTCCAGGTCCAAGTCCATCTCTAAAGCTTTTCACCTGCCTCGAACAAGCAGGCAATCCACCTCAGCCCCAAGTGCTCAACCAACCAACGGCCAGAACCAGCAACAACAGCAGCAGCCCGACCGGATTCAGGAAGGTGCCGTGTCTCAATCGAATCAATCCTCTGCGCCGAATGAGCAGACGACAGGAGCTACCGACGGACAGCAACAAGAAGATATGAGCGCAATTAACCTCCATCAACCCTCATACGGTGCGGGCAGTCCTATGAATCACGATCATCAGAACCTACCTAGCATCAACAACCTCATCAACCCGCCCCAGCAACAGCAGCAGCACAATGCCCAGGGTAATTCCTACAACAACGGCCAGACCAACCCGCAGTACCTAGCCGCCACGATAGATAGCCATCGACCGCAGACCGTCAGTCCCGGAACCGATCCCGCAGCCCTACAACAGCAGCAGCAACAGGCTCTGCCACAGCCCAGTATGCCTCCGCAACAGCAACAGTCGCAGGCGCAGCAACAACACCAGCAGCCATCTCAGCAGTTCCAACAACAGCAGAACCAGAGCCAGAATCAAGCGCAACAGCACCAGCAGTACCAACACCAGCCGCACCACCAACAGAACGCTAGCACTGGTTCAGTCATGCGCGTAACAAAGGGAAAATACTCGTTGGGTGACTTCGATATCTTGAGGACGCTTGGAACTGGTAGCTTCGGCCGAGTACATTTAGTCCAATCGAAGCACAACCAGCGTTTCTATGCGGTCAAGGTGCTCAAGAAGGCCCAGGTGGTCAAAATGAAGCAAGTCGAACATACCAATGACGAACGTCGCATGCTAGCTGACGTCAAGCACCCTTTCCTTATTACCCTCTGGGGCACGTTCCAGGACCCGAAGAACCTCTACATGGTGATGGATTTCGTTGAAGGTGGAGAGCTGTTTTCACTTCTGAGGAAGTCGGGAGTAAGTTTTTTATGATACTCGCCAAAAACTCAATTGACCTGACTAACACATTGCAGCGTTTCCCTAACCCCGTTGCCAAATTCTACGCCGCGGAGGTCACTTTAGCTTTGGAATACCTCCATTCAAAGAACATTATATACCGTGATCTCAAGCCAGAAAATTTGCTACTCGATCGACATGGCCATCTTAAGATCACAGATTTCGGTTTCGCGAAGCGCGTGCCTGACAAGACATGGACTCTGTGTGGTACACCGGATTACCTAGCTCCTGAAGTGGTCTCTAACAAAGGCTACAACAAATCCGTGGATTGGTGAGTTCTTGCAACTGGCGATGGAACAGAAATGGACTAACATGTTGGCGTACCAGGTGGTCCTTGGGTATTCTGATATACGAAATGCTTTGCGGTTACACCCCCTTCTGGGATAGCGGATCTCCCATGAAGATATACGAAAACATTCTCAAGGGCAAAGTTAAATATCCGGCATACGTCAACGCGGACGCTCAAAATCTTCTTGAGCGTCTCATCACAGCCGACCTCACAAAGCGATTAGGTAACCTCTATGGAGGCCCAGATGACGTGAAGACCCATCCTTGGTTCGCTGAAGTCACCTGGGATCGATTAGCCAGGAAGGACATTGACGCACCTTACACGCCACCAGTCAAGGCGGGTGCCGGAGACGCGAGTCAATTCGATCGTTACCCTGAGGATCCCGAGAAGTACGGGGTGGTTACGGCACCAGATGAGTGAGTGATCATTTGCAATGTCCATTAATTAGCCAAGCTAACCCTTCGCAGATACGGTCACATGTTTACGGAGTTTTAAGAAAGTGCTTGAGAGCGAGTAATGGATGCACTTGTATGATTAGGTTGGAAACAAACCTCTCTTGGTGCAGTCAACTTTGGGTGGGCGTTCATGCTGTGCGCTTTACTCTTGGATATGAGATGCTGGAACTGTTTTATTTGTCGTTGGTTCATGTTTCACGCAATTGCAGGAATGGGGTGATGAAAAAGAAGGCTCCCGGGAATCTCTGGTTGGAGAGTTGGTTGGCTGTTGGTTGACGAGCTCAGGTTGGAAAGCCAGGTGAACATATCCTATGCAAGTAACCCAGGCCACAGAATAGCCTTGAACGAATATCCGTACTACGGCATCCTTATACTCAGGTACCCAGAACATGTCTAGTTCGTCTTGGCGACCAATTGATGAACATGCGCAATTCCATCGATATCTTCAGTCTATCAACGTTGCTATGACGTTTCCTTCTCAATTCTTGTCAGATAGAAACCCCAGCTAGCAATTCTGCTTCATCTTCCTCCACTGTGATTGAATGGCTCCAGCAGGTTTCGTTTCTCCACTTAGCCACTCAAGAACGGGTTCGGGTTCCTCTCTTTAGTGGCGCTAAGTAAAGCTGGGGTTGGGATTTTGGGAGCGGCCGCCATCAATGTCCCAAGGGACGGACCGTTATGACAGAAGGTGCTCGTCTTCGCTACCCTTTTCACACAAAATATCAAAAAGTCGCGGGGTCGGGATGATAAGGCAATGCTCGCTTTGACAAGACAAGCGAAGGCTTTCCCCTTTCAATTAACTCATTTGATCATTGACCTTATTTTCGACAGGCCAGAACCGTTGTCCACTTCTCGGTCCCTGCTTCATTCAATGGATGTCACCCTGGCTGACATTTGATTCAGCCTCATCCAATACCTGGGTAGTCACAATCCCTGCCATATCGTTATAACCTACTAGCCTAGTACCTATAAACTCACCGATTCTTCTGCTTCTACGTTTTCTTCTCTCTTAGCATGTCGTACATTCACCTCTCGATCGAGTTCCCCAAAAAGCCCACCGCCAAGCTTTGACTAGCGACCTGCAAGGACCAAGACGGGCAGCGAATCCGGTGGAGGTGGCTTTTTTAGGACATGTGAGAGATCTATTTCAATCAACTAAAAAACACCCGCCCTCCGGATACCTACAGGAGAGATACTTCTATATCTGTCGCACACGCAGCATCTGAGTTCGGGTTCTTGCATCGCGGTCGCAATGGAAGACTATTTGTTTCGACATTACGTTGATCAGTGTCGCGTTGTCAAAGAAGAGACCAGCTACATCCAGGTCTTCAATTACTCGGTATGCTTCGAATGGACTTTACATCAAGAACAATGCTTGCTAATACGCTCACTAGGATCCGTTCTACGATGTCTGTGAGGAGCATCCCTTGCCCGATGATGAATTTGACAACTTTCTTCATCAAAGGGTAAGTCAATGTTTTTAACTGCAAAGTATCTCAAATCACAGGACTCAATTGACAAGGATAGGGTGCCTTTGCGCCGCCAGATCATCTGAGGTCTGGCACCAAGCTTCTCAGTGGTGTACGAATAATGTGAGATTCAAAGTCGCAAAATATCGAGATAGAGCCCACTGACGCCGCCGCCAAGAGTTCAAAAGAACGCCAAGCATCCCGATACGTTTCTCCCAAAGGTTATCTCACTTCCGCCGGATAGATACAGTTCCATGGTTCGTACCTTGAACTTGCCACATCGAGGAATCGAAACGACTTCAGTAGTTGGTCCTTTTTTCTGGTCTGCTCACGACCAGGATGAAGACGAGCCCCATTTGCGTGAGTTTCTTCCCCCCCTGGGCTCCTGAACTTCATCACCTGACATCTTACCAGAAATTGTCCACCGTAAATCAGATGTTCTCAAGAAAGGGAGAACACGAGGCTGGGAGATGCTTCTCTCACATTCCCTCAAGACCGGGGTCACCACCGGCTTCATCAAAGGCACTCCCAGCTCAGAAGTTGAAAAGTCCTTGACTCATCTCAAAGCATGTGCTAACCAAGTTGGACATCCCATGTTACTCCCCATCATCATCCTCACGTATGATCTATCTCCCGAAAATGACGAGAAACAACGAAAGGCTCGGCACTGGCTTCGCCGTCTCGAAAATGCCGTGAGTTTGCGCAATGAAGTTGAGGAGCAGGAACAGTACTTTCAAAACGGATTTATCGATATCGATGGTCTAAGTCGTGATCTGGTTGAGTGCCACGGCAATGTCATGTGGAAACGACCTCAAGCATATGAAGCACTAGTCAAAGAGATGGAAAAGGCCATGGAAACCTTTCGTTTCGCTTGGATGACACTGGCTCCTGCGGCCGAGGAGCAAATTGAAGCTGAAAGAAAGCACCGCAAGGAAATTCAAAAATTGCATCGAAGTATGGCATCTCGTTTGGACTTTTACAAAGTCAAGCTCAAAGGCTTGGAGAATTACATTCATACAACTCTCGAGAGACTCAAGGTTCAGCGGGAAGCGGTCAGTCACCCTCAAACTCATCACAGGATGTTACTGATTCTTGAATAGCTCTATAATATCATGTCACAGCGTGAAGCGAGACTGAACCTTGAAATTGCAGGAGAGCAGAGGCGAATAGCCCATGCTAGTAAGCGAGACAGTACGGCTATGAAGACATTGTCGCTCATGGGTGCCCTATTTTTACCCGGGACATATCTCGCATCCGTATTCAGCATGACATTCTTTGACTTTGGAAAAGGTTTGCTATGGTTCTCCATTATCTATTGGCGTTGCTAATTTGCTGACGCAGATGCCGACCCTGTCATTTCTGTTGAGCTTTGGGTGTACTTTGCCATAACGGTTCCCGTAACGGCGCTGATAGTCGGAGCCTGGACGTTTATCGACAAACGTCGCCAAGAGCAGCACAAAAAGGACGACGCAGACCTGGAGAAGAATATCGACAAGATGGAAAAGGAGATCATGTTTGCCCTTAGGAAGCGGACAATGAGTAAAGCCAATACCTGGAACACTGTCAGCCCACCCCCGAAGCCATGAGGAAGAGGAAGCCATTGCTTGAAATTTTGATGCCATTATGGAAATTCTTGGCCACAACGAGATTTACGACTCATGAACACAATGACGCCATTTGCGACGATATGGACGACTTCACTTCATAGATAAAACCAAGTTTGACGAACGCGATGCATTATATATATATATATGTATTTGCGTATATAAATACGATACGTTAAAATATGAGCGTCTTATGACAGGATCAATAGCTGCCTCCATGATATCCAGGTAGCATCCAGTCCGTTTCCTCATGTCCGACTTACAATAAGAAACGACTCACGCATGAACACGTCAATAAAACCCTAATTAGTCCTTCAACTCCACGACGGTTTATCCATACCGACTTTAGTAGGGAAGATAAGACAGTACAAAAGCATAATAAAAATCAAAGAGTTCTTGCTTTTCCCCAAAAGACCTTGCGCCGCCAATGTATAGAAATGATGTTGCTAGATACGAATCTGGCCTTCGCTAGAACCACCAAACCATCTACGGAAATCAGGTCCCGAGCTTGATGATCCAGCACCTGCAGTATCATCGTCGCCACCCATCCACTTTGGCTTCTTGATATCGTTAAACCATTTAGGGGCTTCGATACCATCCATGGTGTTTTTCATACGGTGACCGATGATGGTAAAGAGGTTATCGTCTTCCGGCGGCTCGTCGTTCCAGTTTGCACCATAGCGATGTTCTGGGCCACGGCGGGCATTCGCAGCTGGACCTCGAGCTGGAGACCGAGCAGGAGAAGAAGCGGCGCCATGGGCGGATGGTATAGACAAAATTGGAGCAGATCTACCACCAACTGTTCCAGCAGCCCCTATTCTAGCAAGTGCATCTTCTCTGCGATGAAAGAGGGTGTTTCCACCTAGTTCACGAGAGATGAGATCTCGGCCTTCCCGCCAGGATCCGGTACCATAAGTGGTGCCATTCTCTTCTTCGTCGTCCATTACATCCATACCAACAAAGATTCGTTTGACTCGACCGTAAATGCCAAAAAGGGTAGCAAACACAGGGAATAGGACGACCACAGGAAACAGGTCGTCAAAATAACGACCTAGTGGCGTAAAGTCGATGAGCTGTCCAAGAAAGTGATAAAAGACAGTCTTGTTGTAGACCTGGCTCGAAAGGAAGGTGATAAAGTTGTAAGAGATAGGAATAGTCAGTTTGGCCACCTGCATCGCATACCAAAAAGCGGACTCATGAGCGGTGTTTCGTCGAACAAGGGCCCGGCCTCGCCAGACTTTGACCTCGGTCATCGAAATAAGTGCCGCTGCACACATGTAGCAGATCCAGAATGACGAGATGGCCTGTCCAGCGAAGCCGACCTCAGGCTTATCGCCAACCCAATGATGAACCACAGTTAATCTGATGATAGAAAGCTTGGGGAATGCAAACTTGACGACCTCAGACCAGACGATACAAGCCGAGGCTGCTGCCAAGGATAAACCGAGAAGGACTTGAGCATAAGGCAAGATTTGGTAATAGTAGAGGTATCGAGTATATGGTGTCAGGATGGCGGTCTTTTCCCAAAAGGTTGCATGAGGTGACACTTCGCCAAAGTCGAGCTTTTTCGATGCTGCCGAGTCCAGGATCGCTTGCGTTTCGGCAGCTTCTTGAACGAGGTCACTCCAAGCGTTGACATATCGAGATCGAGCGTGTCTGGCGCGCACATACTTCCTAGTGAGATCGGCAAGATACTTTTCGGTGATGACATGTGGGATAATATTGTTATCGGAGCTGGAACCAAATCGGGTGCCTCGGGGTTGCGACTCAGGAAGATTGGCCATTTCTTGCAGTTCTTCGATCCAGTCTCGGTATGTGTTTGCGCTTCCTGTCTTGCGTCGGCCAAGCTCCGCAACCTGAACCTCAATATCCTCAAGTTTGGTAATCGAGTCCTCCATCTCTTCGTAAACCTTGGGCGCCTTGCTCTGGAGTCGTCGTAGTCGTCCACTGATGCTTGCGCCGCGCATGAATCGTCGAGGTATCGATACTAAACCGTGACCCATGAGGTAGATGGCGAGAATTAATCCCCAACAGTATGCGAGAGCCATAATAGTTCCCTTAATAACGTCGACCTTGAAGGAGAAGCCGGAGGAGATGACATAGTAAATGAGCCCGACGAAACCAAAACCTAAGACGATGGCGTGAAACTGGGCATTGCTACGAACCGAGTACATGAACTTGTCGTATGGTTCTCGGTATCCAGAGTCGGAGTATTCGGCAAGGATTGGAAGAATAAACCTGTATATACTCGTTAGTCTCCACCGCGATGCAGTGCACCAAATCATCATACCATGTCAATGCAAATGTCAACCAATATGAAATGCGCCATGAAACAAGTATGACTCGCTCAGGGAGCCATATTCCCCTTGACTCTTCATCACCAGTAACTGCGCTCGAGGCAAGATCGACCGGAACGAGGATCACGACAATGGTTGGTAGCCATAAGGCGAAGAAGATGGGAATGAGATAAAAGGCTGGTGTCGTTCGTAGCGGGAGATAGTATCGTAAAATAAGGAGAACGACGAGGGATATGACAACTAAAGCGATGCACGAGAAGATGGCAGAGCCAACCGGCGACGAACTGCTTGTTACGTGTAACATTTCAAAGAGTCGAAGCGCATGGCGCACAAATTTGTAAGGATAAGGTCGAAGCGAAAGTCCAAGTTCTAAAGATGGTTTGGTTTGATTGACTGAGACTTGAGTGACATGCGATAGCCAGGGGTACACGGACCGTTCGGACTTAGCCTGAGGGTACGTATTGGCAATATCTTACGTCATTTCCCCCATGAGGCACACACCCGGTTTTGGGGTAGATTGGCCTGGAAAATTGGGCGCGAAATCTGACTGGCGTTGGCGCATCTCCTTGGCCCAGACGCATTTAATTGAATCGCGTAAAGTCGCGTTTCGGTGGACCCCTTCACCCAGACAACGACAACCATTCACAACTCGAGCGCATCGCGACTTGGATTCCCATCTTTTTCAGGACTTCGTTGCACTAGGTCGCATTGTGTTTCTGATCGACGATTTACTCTTGCTTTCGTTAAGAGCAAGCACAAAAAATGGCAAACGTCGAAGAGTGTAAGTCTGGCGGCTGTCACAACTTGATTTGCCAAATACTGACACGTTTATTGAAGGGCTTGCCAACGCCAACGAGGCGATTCATATCAGCCTGGTGTCTCCCTCCGAATCTGGCCTTCAACATCTTGCTACATTTAACCCTCGACACACATACTCGATTTTCGGCGAGGAAGAACAGATCTTTGGCTACAAAGATCTCAAGGTCAGCCTGCGGTTTCGCGCTAACGATATGCGACCGCACTTGAAGACATCCTACAGCAAGAAGTTCAAGGTTGTTGGAGGACCTGAGCCTACAGATGTGGCAGCTATTCTCAAGGAAGGCAATCATTTGCCTAAGAGTATGTAACTCTTCCTTGAACGCGCAACAAGAAATACTAACAGCACCTAGTCGCCTTTGCCACAGCAAGCGATTTCGAAGAGAGCTCCAAGCTAATGGGCGATAACTGGGTACCGTCCGGAACCCTTCATGCGACCTTCGATAGTCCTGATGGCGAGTACGAAATCTGGCGCGGAAATCTCGCCGACCCAGCTATCAAGCAACTCAACAGCCGCCTGCAGATATTTGTTCCTCTTTTCATCGAAGGCGGCACTTATATCGGCCAAGATCCCGAGATGGACTCAACAGAGCTTGATCTATCTGATGCCGATCGATGGACATTCTTTGCCCTTTATCAGAAGCGAAAGGTGGCGGACAAGACCTCGTATGTGTTTGTAGGCTACTCAACCATCTACCGATTTTACTATTTCCAGCCGCCCACGCCCCCAGCATCGCCTCGAAGCGATGAGTGGGAGCTGCCAAATGGTGAGGTGGACCTCGCCGAGTTACCCTCCCGAACAAGACTATCTCAATTCGTTATTTTACCCCCTTTTCAGGGCAAAGGCAACGGAGCACGACTCTACAAGACCATCTTCGAGCACTACCATAAGATTCCACAGACGTATGAGTTCACTGTGGAGGACCCAAACGAAGCCTTCGATGACTTGCGAGACATCTGCGATTTGCAATTCCTCCGCACGATGCCCGAGTTCAACGACCTGCGACTTGATACAGAAGTTGCCATTCCTAGGAAGGGAACTCTGCCAAAACTGATTGTTGGCAGTGACAAGCTTGAGACTATTCGACTTCAGGCTAAGATTGCACCTCGCCAGTTTGGTCGGGTCCTGGAAATGCACCTCATGTCTCAACTTCCCAAATCAGTACGACCAACAATGGACATTGATGGAGACATGCCAGAAGCTACACAAGCCGACAAGCACCAGGGCAAGGTCTGGAGTCTGATTGTTAAACAGCGACTGTACCGTCACAACAAAGATGTCCTATCTCAAATCGAACCTCATGAGCGCGTTGACAAGCTTGATGACACTCTGCAGGGTGTTGGACTAGAGTATGCGCGTATCCTGTCTGCCTTGGAACGCTCAGCGAAGCACTCTCAAAGCCAATCAATAGCGAATGGCAAGCGAAAGCTGGACACAGAGGAAACCGAGCAGGATACCGGTAGCAAGAAAGCTCGCGTTGAGAATTCTTAGGTGTTTATGTATTTTAATTTCTTGAGGCTTAACCGAATGAACGGATTAGCTAGGCGTTGGGAATAATGGACGGAGAAAAATGTATGATCTTGTGTATGAATCAAACCATTACACCTATATCCGGTGTACTTAACCTATGCTGTGCCATGCCATGCCATGCAAACAAACAAGCCGATTATCTTAACAGAGGCGAGAATAATTACCCCCCAAAGGTCTGCAGCAAGAACTGCCAAGTACTATCGAGTCTAAGATAAGATAGAAGAAGATACTAGGATTTTGTATTCTTTCCCTTGCCATGTCCTCGACCTCTTTGGGCTCTAGTTTTGGTTCGTAGACTGATTCCAGTGATTGAAAGTCCGAGACTACCTCGGGGTCTGAGATAGGCAGGGAACATGAATATGATGGTTGCCAGGACTTCCTGGGAAGTTCTGACCGATCATCGTGGTCATGATCCATTCATTCATAACGTGCACCGGGAAACCTGGTGCCATTTACACCGTCAGCCCCCTTTCCAATCTGACCGGCCACAACAGCGGCCTCACGTACAGCTCTTGAGACGGAGCCACGGACTCTGCCCTCTTCAAGAACCAAGACACCACCAATAGTGCAGCCACCGGATGTACAAACCTTCTCCCGGAGAAGAGCAGGGTGCTCGCCATTTTGGACAAGACCAGCAGTACCTCTCATAGACTGAGTAGCCATGCGCTGAGCATCGGCACGGGGAATGCCCATAGCAACAGCGCCATCAATGGCAGCTTCTAGCACCAGGGCGAAGAAAGCGGGACCTGAAGCACACAGAGCTGTCGAGGCATCCATATGTCGCGTGGGAAGGTAGACAACGTCACCAATGCGCCTGAAGATCCAGGTAACAAGGCTCTCAGTGGCATGGTCGAGGGGAGAACTAGGAGAAGCGATAACAGTCATCGATTCACGGATCACGGCAGCTGTGTTGCACATGGCCCGGACAATGCGGCATCGACCATCCTCCTCTGGGTCCTTGGAGGGTACAGCGCCGTGGAGAGCGATTTCGATGTCCTCTACTGTGATACCAGCACAAACGCTGACAAGAAGTTTGCCGTGCAGAGCTTTTGAAATACCAGGCTCGCTAAGGATCTCTTTAACCATCCATGGCTTGCAAGTGAGCAGAACAACCTCAGCCTGCTGAACGGCACCAATGTTGTCGTTGTGGACAACCTTGAGAATGGAAGAATGCTCCCAGAGAGCGCCCTTGACACGCTTAGCGCCCGCAGCAGTAGCAACGCTGGCAACGAAGCGTGAAGGTAGTCGTTCAGGCACCTCGTCGCCAGGAGTTGAGGTTCCTGATCTGGGGAGGGACTGGAGGGGCTTAGGTCCTTGCATCTCAGCGAGTGAGTTTAAGATACCACTGAGGATAGCAACTCCCATGGTTCCTTGGATTTGTTAGCAGATGAAAACTGCGTAATAAAACACCCGCAGAAATATATAGCATCGTCCTCAAAAGAACGACGATCCGCATCTGGTGCCAAGGGTATTTCTGTCGACTTACCACAACCAAGAACAGCCATTGTGAGGTCTGTACTGCCGTTTGAGCCATAAGGCGTGAGAGCCATTGTGTTGGGAGACATGATGTTTGCAGTAAACGAAAGAAAAAAAAAACCACTTGTTATCCAAAAGTTTTATATGGAGGGGAAAACTTTGATATAGAGGAGATGCTACCTGAGTCAAGGACGGGGCCCAAGTGGTTTAGTGGAGGAAGCAATGGGGGGAAAACGGGAATTGAAAATAAGAAAGATAACTAAAAAGCTGGGGAAATGGAGGAAGAGAGCATATTTATGCGGAAAAATTCTACTTATAAACAAATGCTACCTGTTTACTGAGAAGCAAATGCGCGCAAAAGATTGAACTTTACCAGGTAACGTAAAGTAAAGTGCTTTTGCTGCCCAATGCGCATCCTGGCCACACAGTCAAGACGAAGCAAAAACGGAATACGTCGAAAATAAGGGGTAAGTTTGAGACTCACGCCCGTTGATGTTTCTATGTACAAACTCTCCAAACGGGTGCTATTCACCGAGAAAAGAGACGAAGCAAATTGCCGACAGGCAAAGTCTCACCATGTCAGGAGATGAAGACCGTCAGTGCCCTCCCGTTGGGTTCCGACTTCTTCCAGACAAGCCCAAAGCCTAGCCTGGACCGTGTAAGTGAACCCCTGTGAAGTGAGGTAATTCGTGAATCTGACGCCCCTGAGCATGCTTCAGGGCTTCACCAGAAGACCTTCACACGCGACAGGTCTTCACCGGGATCCTCTTATGGTTAGACTCATGCGATACACCTTCGGCTTGTCCGGGCCGGATCGATTCCTTTCGTGTGAAGGAGGGATGAAGCTGGAAAAGAAGAAGAAATATTGCGGGACGGTGAGACCTGGTTATTCCCGCCGGTTTCAAGATCTCAAATTCGCTCCTCAGCACGGCCACAACGTGGCACAGCTCCTTTCCCTTGCAGACCCACTATCAACCTCATCAACAAATTATCTGGGCTTCTCACCTACCACCTAATTCAGCTAAACAATTTACATACTGTAGCGACCTTATACCAAAGCCTTTTGGTGTTCTTTCTTGCTGGCTTTGGCTGTGATACTCTCAAGCCGTGGTTGGTTTCTCAAGTCTTCCGGCCTTCCGATAGTATATCGCTTTGAGGTTTTCCATTTTGCACAACCAACTCACAGCGTTCTCAATATGGCCGACCCATTTGAAGTGCGAATGCGCTTCACCTCACAGCTTCAACATCTCAACGCGTCAGTTACATCTGCTCAGAAAGCCGCACAATATGCGCTTAGATTCAGAGATATGGATGAGGACTTGCATTCGTGCATCCTGGAACAGCTTGAACGAGTAAGTCGGACCATTTCATCTCAGTGGACTCGGCATTGACACAAGATAGCAGAACAATATGAACATACGTGCCAATATCATGTACTTTATCGAGCACTTCCTAGATATGGCGCAACGTGACGGACACCCCGACTACATTCGAATGATGCAACGGGACATTATCCGTGTCGTTGATGCTGTTGCCCCGGATGATGGGTCAGGTGCTGCCAACGTCAAAGTGGTCCGAAAGGTGAGTTGATCCCCGCATCATGGCGCAACTCCAGATTTGTTCTAGAACCTGTGGCTCACATGTCGGTGCAGGTCTTGCAGGGTCTTCAAGGAAAAGGGTACCTGGAGCCGCAAGCAGTCAGTCAGATCGAAGATGTCATCAAAGAACGTGAGACAAATGTCGAAGACCTAGGCCTAGCTTCACCAAATGGAGATGTCGAGATGACAGACATGCCCCCTTCACAAACCATACCTAAGCCAGGTCGACGGAGCACGTCACACCAGCTTGACAAACGTCAAATTGAGCAACGAATCGAGGAGGACCGCGAGCGCCACAAGCGTGAGCGCGAAAGCATTTGGGCAGTCCCCAAAGCCGAGAACGCTGAGATGGACAGACTGTGGGAGGAAACGAGCGACTTTGGAGAAGACGACGACCGTCTGCTCACCGAAGAGCTGGATGACTTTCAAAAAGAGATGGAGATTCAGTCTAATTGCCAGCATCATCATGGAGCAGCGAACGGCAACCGTCACTAAATGGAACCGAATCATCTTGCATTGTTATGGATATTTGTCGGCGTTCGGTTCTGGGCTCGAATTGGGATTGAGAGAAAAGTATTGATACCCGTCGTTTTCGGCATGGCTGGCTAGCGTAGCGAGGTTTCAGATCGACCTGCCATGAGAATTGAGGTCGTATGTAGGTGAACAATACATTTGTTCAATATGATATCATAATTAAAAAGAACCCATCGCTAAATGAGCCTTTCTAAGGGTACATATTGTTAGATACTAGTACAGATGTTTTTACACATGCAATCCAGCCATCTATCGTGCCAAGTCGCCAGTCGTTGTGCCCCAGAGATCCAACCATTTTACTCCATAACCACAGTGGCGCCCAGCTCCTTCATGGCGGCGATAATCTTCTCAGCATCTTCTTTCGGGACGTTCTCCTTCATCATCTTGGGCGCACTCTCGACGAACTTCTTGCTATCCACCAAGCTCAGACCGAGCATGTTCTTGATCTCCTTGATAACCTTGGCCTTGGATGGGGCATCGAACCCTTGCAACTTGAGGGTGAAGAGTGTCTTCTCGGCGGCAGCAGGAGCAGCCTCCTCGGCTTCTTCGGCGGGGGCAGGGGCAGCAGCGGGAGCAGCAGCAGCAAAGCCGCCTATGGGCATATCGGGAATGTTGAGCTTGGTCTATCGAAAGGTTCCAGTTAGCAATTATACGGCGACAAAATAACCCCTCCAAGGTTCAATTGAAGCCCGGTTATTGTCCTCACTAACCTTGAGGCTTGAAACAAGGTCAGCAGTCTCCAAGAGAGTAAGCTGGCTGATCTGATCGACAATGGCTTCGATCTTGGGGTTGGCAGGAGCGGCCTCGGTTGAGTTCCATCTCCTCGAGGCAGCTGAGATTCGGACGAACTGTGTGGGTGCCCGGGCAGCGCGAGCGGATCGGAGGTGGCGAGCACAGCTCTGGGCGGCGTACCGACAAGACATGGCCATTTTTGTGATTGCGGTTGGCTGGGGGTTGCTCAATTCGAAGAGTCGTCGCGTGCGGGCGTCTGAGGAAGCGTCTTGAAGTTTTTCGAGCTGTCTCGATGGTTTGGCGGGCTAGCGGCCGTATCACGTGTATAATTGGGGCTTCACTTACATCGAACCATTGCATCCTTGAATTGAAGCATTCCATCCGACTATGCACATTGTTGAAACTTGCATGGGTCGAGGCATGGAAGAAGTAAATGCTAGAAGTCGTCAAGTATACAAGCTCAAACGATATGATGTGGTTGTTGAAACGTTATTGATTGACCCAGCCTGGTAGGCAAAGGGCGTTAGCATTCCGGTGGAGGATATAGGCGAGATAGGTGTCTAGGCGAGAGGATCGACGGAATTATATTGCGATAAATTACGGCCAATCTCGCAAAGATGCAAGACACATCTTCTCAAATTACCAAGTTTTACTGTAAATATAACAAGAATAATCGACGTTCAGGCGGATTGATTAGAGAATGAAGTGTCAAATCAATCCACATACGCCAGGTTCAGAACTAAAGCAGATTAGCGTACTGACCTTGTAGTGGCTGATAAGATAACGAAAAAAAAGTTCAAGAGAGCAGTTCTCAGGTTTAGCTTGGAAGCACCACAAACCATCGACAGCCGAAATTTCGTCAACAGAGAGCGCAATCATGGCAATGATTGATGTCTCGCGGCAGAGGAGGTCGCTCCTTGCGGATGCGACTGTATTGGAACATCTGCCAGCAGAAATACTGGCCATTATCCAAGACCAGTCCTCGACGAAACTGCTAGATGCTGTTGCAGAGGCGGCTCTTTGCCCGCCACTTACAGAGCGTATCTTTGCGCATTTCGAGCATGTTTTCCCAGACATTTGTGCTCGATGGATTCTCAACCCCGGAAATGGACAACAGCGCATACGAATATACTCAGCGTTAGCCCGAATTCTACCCTTTGCTCCTTACCTTTCAACATTTATTGAATACGCCTCCTCTACTCCCGAACAAACGACGAATTCACCCTCTCTCCGACTCCCACCCTTACGGTTAGACCAGAATGCCATGGAACAGGATGGAGAGATCCTCTTACAGAGCCTCCTTGTTGTTTGGAGGTTAATCAGTTTCGATTCGCGCAATTTTGGCCCATTGACATCCGCTGCCTTGATGCAGACCTTGTTTAAGCATGAAAGCAGAGCTGTGCGTTATCTTGCGACTCGAATTTTTATCCAACTCCTCCATGGGTCCGATTGGAAGCTTGAATCTCTTATTCAGGAACATATTGGCAAGAGTGAGGCTATCCTCGCAGACTTCGACGGTCGATCGATTGATTATGGATTCCTTTCGCTGTACGAACAGTCTCGAGTGAAGTCTTTCCTGGCCCTGCGCGAAGAAGTGCAGGTCGCCCACGAGGCCGCAACAGATGATTCTCCGCTCGCGCAAACCCTCACTCCTTACGTCGTCTGTTATGGCAACGTTATCCTGCCCAGACCCCTAGGTCCAACCGGAGAACCCTCCAACCTTGTCCTCACCCCCACGACCGTCTCAAATTTGGAGCGATTAGCGACTATGCTCCGTGAATCTGACCCAGTAATGTTATATGGTCTTCCTGGCGTTGGAAAGACGGCCCTTGTTCACGAAATAGCCAAGCAACTCGGCATGTATTCTAACATGGTCACATTGCACCTCAATGAACAAACGGACGCGAAAATGCTTATTGGGCTATACTCGACTGACTCGAAGCCCGGTAGCTTTCAATGGAGGCCCGGTGTGTTGACAACAGCCGTGAGGGAAGGTCGATGGGTATTGGTGGAAGACCTTGATCGGGCGCCGACTGAGGTCCTTAGCACGCTGCTACCCCTGATCGAAAGAAAGGAACTCCTCATCCCAAGCCGAGGCGAAAGAATACGAGCAGCCAGCACTTTCCGACTTTTTGCAACTGTGCGAACGTCCAGGGGAATGAATGGCCGAGAGAATCTGCCAAGCCTGGTTGGCATTCGTTTCTGGCAAACTCTGAGTACACAGGCCCTCGCAGCGTCTGAACTGGAGGATGTTGTGGCCCAGACGTACCCCATCTTGCGAAAGTTTATTCCTAGCATTCTGGCAGTGTATGCTCGTTTGTGTCGTCTTGGCTCCACGCCAGGCGCTTTGGCACGAGGCCGAAATATTATGGACCGTCAAGTGACATTGCGAGATCTGCTCAAATGGTGCCGAAGGTTGCGCGAATGCTTGGTCGCTGCTGGGTCAAAGACGGGAGAAGAGCCAATCACCAAGACAACGAGTGATCAGATGTTCTTGGAAGCTGTTGATTGCTTTGTTGGAAGTTGCCCTGATCCTGAAATTGGCAAACAGCTCATCATTGCGATTGCTGAGGAGATGCAATTACCCAAGGAATTAGCAGAGCACTACTTCACTACACACATACCCAATCTGAACGAGAGTGATAACCAGTTCAGCATTGGACGTGCTGTGTTACGGAAGAAGAAACAATCGAACCGAGTTCAGAAATCCAAACGACCCTTCGCTAGCACAGCGCATGCCAAGAAGCTGTTGGAACAGATTGCCGTAGCTGTCAAGCTAAATGAACCTGTCCTTCTTGTGGGAGAAACCGGTATCGGTAAAACAACTGTTGTACAGCAATTGGCTGAGTCTTTGGGCCATAAGCTTATTGCTGTCAACTTGTCCCAGCAGAGTGAAGTCGGCGATCTTCTCGGTGGCTTCAAGCCAGTCAACACTCGGACGTTGGCGATGCCTCTGAAGGAAGAGTTTGAAGACCTTTTCTCGGCGACAGGTATTTCCGCGTCAAAGAATCAGAAGTATCTTGAACAAGTTGGCAAGTGTTTTGCCAAGGGGCAGTGGTCAAGGGTGTCAAAGCTGTGGAAGGAAGCTCCTAAAATGTTCAACAAGATCGTCAAAGAGCTCGAAAGAGTTCAAACCGAACAAGCAGAGATCAGGAATGAAGACGAGCAACCGACAAAACGTCGAAAAACTCAGTCAAAGCTCCAGACCCTGCTCGATCTACGTCCAAGATGGGATATGTTTGCTCGTAATCTTGAGCAGTTTGATGTACAGATCTCTGGAGGTTCAGGCAGCTTTGCTTTCTCTTTCATGGAGGGGAATTTAGTCAAGGCTGTGCGTAACGGTGACTGGGTTCTTCTTGATGAGATAAATCTCGCGTCGCCTGACACGCTTGAGAGTATCGCGGATCTCCTGACCGGACCTGACGAAAGACCATCCATTTTACTCTCCGAAACTGGCGAGATTGAGAAAATTGAAGCACATCCAAACTTCCGCATTTTCGGTGCGATGAATCCTGCAACCGATATCGGAAAACGCGACCTCCCAGTGGGCATTCGCTCCAGATTTACTGAAGTCTATGTTTCCAGTCCTGATAAAGACCTTAAGGATCTTCTGACAATCATCAAGACATACCTGGGAAGCAGCAACAGCAAGAATGATCAAGCGGCAGATGATATTGCCCGTCTATATATCAACACCAAGCGACTAGCTCAGGAGAAACGGTTAGTCGATGGCGCGAACGAAGTACCTCATTTCAGTCTTCGAACCCTCACACGAGTTCTTAGCTATGTGAACACCATCGCCCCCTACTATGGTGTTCGAAGAGCTTTGTATGAGGGTTTCTCGATGGGCTTCCTTACCCTCCTTGACCGAGAGTCTGAAAAGATGCTTGTTCCCCTAATATCCCACCACCTTTTCGAGAAACATGGAAACCCCCAGTCTCTACTTTCCCAGGCCCCCAAACACCCAAATGACGGAAAGCAATATGTCCGGTTCAAGAACAAGAACAGAGACAGACAATACTGGCTGTTCCAGGGCAGCGAAACCCCTATTGAGCGGGAAGACTATATCATTACCCCTTACGTTGAACGCAACCTCCTGAACCTTGTCCGAGCCACTTCTACAAGACGTTTCCCCATTCTGATTCAAGGCCCTACTTCTGCCGGAAAGACGAGTATGATTGAGTACCTCGCAAACTTCACTGGTAACAAGTTCGTGCGAATCAACAACCACGAACACACCGATCTTCAAGAATACCTGGGCACCTACATCTCAGGTTCTGATGGGAAGCTGCGTTTCCAAGAAGGCATTCTCGTTCAAGCAATGCGCCAAGGTCACTGGATCGTACTTGATGAGCTGAATTTAGCACCGACTGATGTCCTCGAGGCCTTGAATCGTCTTTTGGATGACAACCGTGAACTTCTGATCCCCGAAACACAAGAAATTGTCAAACCTCACGAGAACTTCATCCTGTTTGCTACTCAAAACCCTCCTGGTCTTTACGGCGGAAGAAAGGTGCTCTCAAGAGCGTTCCGTAATCGATTCTTGGAATTACACTTTGATGATATTCCCGAAGACGAGTTGGAGTTTATCCTTCAGCAACGAAGCCGCAACACCTCTCCTCCGGATTGCCGAAGAATTGTCAATGTCTATAAGGAACTCTCCAGGCTTCGCCAAACCAGTCGATTATTCGAGCAGAAGGACAGTTTTGCGACACTTCGTGATTTGTTTCGCTGGGCATTGCGAGAAGCTGATACCCGCGAGGAGATTGCTGCTCATGGATTTATGCTATTGGCCGAAAGAGTCCGTAACGAAGAGGAGCGTATCGCAGTTAAGGAGGTCATTGAAAAGGTCTTCAAAGTGAAGATTAATCCCCAAGACCTGTATTCCGCTACAGTGGCCCCTGAGCTGAAGCAGTTCACCAGCAAACCCAACAGTCAAGGCGTGGTATGGACGCATGCGATGCGCCGACTTTATGTTCTTGTCTCTCGGGCGTTGCGCAACAATGAACCCGTCCTTCTGGTTGGTGAGACAGGCTGTGGAAAGACGACAGTTGTTCAATTGCTTGCGGAGGCATTGAAGAAAGAGCTTCATATCGTCAACGCTCACCAGAATACTGAGACTGGTGATTTGATTGGTTCACAAAGACCTGTCCGTAATCGTGGAGCTATTGTCGATGCTTTGGATGTGGATTTGAAGTCGGTTCTGCAAAGCCTCGGATTGGAAGTCTCTGGCTCCGTAGAAGATCGTCTTGATCGATACAAAGCACTGGATCTTTCAGTCAGCAACGACATTCCTCAAGAGGTGAAACAACGTATCACTGCACATGAGACGCGAAGCAAGGCTCTGTTTGAATGGGCGGACGGAAGCTTGGTTGAGGCCATGCGAGAAGGCCATTTCTTCCTCTTGGATGAGATTTCCTTGGCCGATGACTCAGTATTGGAGCGTCTGAACTCTGTACTCGAGCCCTCGAGGACACTTCTTTTGGCCGAGAAGGGAATAGACAACTCTTTTGTCGTCGGAGCAGATGGCTTCCAGTTCTTCGCTACTATGAATCCTGGTGGCGACTTCGGAAAGAAAGAACTGTCGCCCGCGCTGCGAAACCGATTCACTGAGATCTGGGTTCCAGCTTTGTCTCAGACCGAGGATATCTATGAGATTGTTAAGACAAAGCTTCACGGTGACTCTAAGCAACTGGTTGAAATTGTGGTCAAATTCGCTGCTTGGTTCAGCGATA